AAAGAAAGGAAAAACGAAAATGAGATCACCATCTACTCTCCCCATGATCAATATAATTTTTAGTTTTCAAGTATTAAATTACGTATTACTGAGTCATATATTATTATGCTTCTAGATGTTCTAGTAAACTATATTGACCAAAAAAAAAAAAAGGAACAACAACCAAATAAATCATCCGAGAAAACTTATATTAAAATTGTAGCTATAAGCTATCACCTCGAGTCGAAGCACTAAAAGAAAGGACCGGGTAACGCGGCGGCATAGGAACCACGGGACCCCTACTAGAAAAGGGAAAATGGAAGTGCGCTCATGCGCACTAGCCGATAAAGCCATTTTCTCTTAGTGCAAACACTTAGTAAGCAAGCTACTTTCCTCTAACAAGTAAGCAAGTAAACTACCTTTTATAATAAGGAAAGCTTCATAGCTCCAAACTAGACAAGGCGCTTTTATGCCTTTTTTTTAGACAAGAAAGATAAATATAAATAGTATAGGTCATGTGCTTTGTATCATCGCGTATTCGAACAAAGACGTTTTAAAATTTGCAACTTGTGAGAGCTGTTTTCTGGATCCAAAAGAGAGTACTTGAGTTCTCCCAATAACTAAAAACTGTATCATGCCTGAATCTAACTGAGGTTCGCGGTGGTGGGGGAACTGAATCGGAAAAAATAAGGCTTCTAGTTATAAGATATCTAATGAAACCCATTTTGAGACCGCTAAACACATCATAGGTTGTTTGTTGTACTAATTCGAGATTTGGAAATGTCCAAGAAAAAGGGAAAAGGATTAGGAGAATGAATGAAGCCCTATCAATCCCTAATTAATTTATGTTTGGATTGCAAGTAAGTGCACGAGCTTTGGTTGGGGTTTGAGTCAAGAGACACCATGAGAAAATTTAAAGTTAACTTTTTCTAAATGCATATCCTTTAAGGGAAAGTTTTCTTTTAAAACTATCAAACGTGTGTTCTCAAAACTCAAGCTGCCATAATTTGCTCAACTTATTGTTTTGGCAAAACAACTTGTGTTTTTTATAAAAAATTAAGTTGCACCATCCCTAGAACGAAACATGTTATTTTTCTCTTAATTTGTAAAATTAAAATAATTAAACAATGTTTTTAGCAATAAGAGAAGAACAGTCCTATCAACTGAGCTTTTGCAATAAGAGACGAGCATCGACAACTCTGCCCAACCACCTCATAAACATCATCAACAAATTTCGCATCTCAAGAGTGTTTAAAATATCTACAAAATTGTCGATATTTCCGTCGAAATATCCAAAACATCAAAGATCGATATGGAGAGGGGGTTAAATGCAAACTTCACCAATGAATATCGATGATATATACTGATTCACTACATAAATTTTATTGTAACTCGTTGTAGATTTTGAACTTTTGAATTTTTTGTTGATAAACTTTTCTCTAGTTTCTGTTGAAATGTCCTACATCGACCATATCAATGAGAAAATAAGCGTTTAAATATCCTAACCCCACTCCAACTAATACCAAGGCCTTTTGTGATAAAACCTCACACCTGAAGGATTGTGCAGGTGGTAATTACCAAATTGGGGACAATATCAGTGTTGTGGGAAGTGGGTCGTATGACCCGTCTCTGATAATTCTACATGATATCAGAGCCAGGGAGAGGGCCTATCGTACTGCCACGTGATGGGTGGGTCCCCTTGGCCTCACGCGATGATGGTGGGTCCCTTGGCTCCACGTGTAAGGTGAGTCCCCTTCGCTCCACGTGGTTGTCGATGTGTGGCTCTCCCACGTGAGACCCACTAATTGGATCCGACGTGAGGGGGCGTGTTGAAATGTCTCACATCAACCATATCAATGAGAAAATAAGAGTTTAAATATCATAACCCCACTCCAACTAATATCGAGACCTTTTGTGATAAAACCCTACACTTGACGGATTATGCATGTGGTAATTACCAAGTTGGGGACAATATCGGTGTTGTTGGAAGTGGGCCGCATGGCCCGTCTCTCTGATAATTCTACAGTTTCGACTAAATCTGAGTGAGTTTATATATCCACCCCATTGCAAATTTCCATAATTTCCGTTGAAGGCAACTAATTTCGATATTGACATATTCATAAATTTGCACATCAATATTTTCACATATATCGATATTTTAAACACTGACTCACAATAATAAGAGAAAATTGTAGTAATAGTCCTGCAATTTTAACCCAATTGGAGCATTGGTCCCTCATCTAAAACTTTGACTATTGGTCCCTTAACTCATCAAAACGTGCATTTATGGTTATTTTTGTCAACTCCGTCAAAATGAGTCATGGTGGAATGACTATTGCTAGAATTGGGTTAAAGTTAGGGGGACATTCCTACAATTTTCTCATTTTGGTTTTCCATATTTTCGCTTTGAAGAAATATATTTTGACGGAAGTTCTTACGAAGTTGACAAAAATGATCATAACTGCACCATTTGATAAGTTAGGGGACCAATGGTCACAAATTTTAGTCAAGAGATCATTGCTCAAATTCAATTAAAATTAAAGGATCGTTGCAACAAATTCCTTGTAAAACAATGTTTCTTACGATTTTTGTCTCCATTATACTTTAGGTCACGCAATAATCGGAATTTAGTTTAAGAATCAAGGAAACAGATCATCTCCGGATGTCTCCCACCAAAGCCCACCAATCAATTAATCTAAGCCTTTGAAATTTGATCCAACGGCTAAAATTATTATAACTTTTAAATAAGACCCCTGTTTGAAGTTATTGGATCAAATTTCAAGGGCCCAGATTAATTGATTGGTGGCTTTTGGTAGAAGAGATCCGGAGATGATCTCTTTCCAAGAATCACAGTGTGAAACTAAATTGGACAAGGAACCGGATCCCTTCCGGACTCAAATAAATTGAGTCTCTTGAGTAAAGGATCTAGGCTATTAAAATTTGATTCAACGACTACAAACAAAAGACCCTTCTAAAAGATAGTAATTATAGCTGTTAGATCAAATTTCAACAGTCGAGATCCTTTGATCCTTAGGTTCAATTTATTTAGTTCCGGAGGAGATCCGGTTCCATTGGACAAATCATGTTTGACAAGTCATCAATTTGTGATTAGACCAAGTTTGAATATATTATATTATTTAATGGGAAAGTTAGGTATGAGGACGAATATGTTATGCAAAAGCAAAAGGTCCATAAATCAACTAGTTAATGGATAACAAGTGGAATATTCATACATTACTCCAAAGTTGAAAACTCTTAAATTTTTCTCGAGTGTGAGACCCATTTCCCACTTTTCCTTTCAATAATTAAGAGAAGGGGGGGGGGGGGGGGGGGGGGGGGGAACAACTTACTTGTACGCACATGTCAAATTGATTAAATTTACTTGGGTCGATGAGAGTCGTGTGCTTCATCTACACACTTGGGTTAGAATCTTTATTCTCCTGTTTATAGTTTATATTAAATTAAAATATTATTACTAAAAAAATACTAAGTGAGTTGAAAACCTAACCGGATGACTATAATGTCAGAATCATTTTTTTTTTTTCTAAAGAAATATATATATATTTTTTTAAATTAGGAGGGAAAGACTTGAACTTAGTTACAAAGGGTATAAATACGACTCTGATTTTCTGGTCCGTAAGGGGTAGATAACTATATATACGAGCTAACCATATTAATTTTGTATTGAATTCATTCACGATATTCGAACCTAACACTTTCCGTTTGCTATTAGAGACGAATACTATTAGACTACTAACCATCAACTTAAAAATTATTAACCACTTGAGCTACAAACCATTTTTATTATTAAATTGTTAGTTTACAAACCTAAAGATATGATGGAGTATACGAGAGATTTTTCAGTGTAGCCGGAACACGTGGTGGTACCGGTACTAGTACGCCACATGTCATTATACACGCATTGATACGTTACATGTGAAGTATTACCCGTGTTCCGAAAACACTGAAATGTTTCTTGGGGTATATGAGCTTGTTTGGATGTGCTTTTAAAATGATTGAAAGTGCTTTTGATGAAAATGTTTTTGAAACCAATCATTAGTAAAACTCTAAGTGGATCTTGAAAAAGCACTTTAAGTGCTTCTTGCAAGAAGCACATATCTAGTGTTTCTTTAAAAAAGCACTTAAAGTGCTTTTAGAACTCAAAATCAATTTCACCAAAAACGCTTTCAGTCATTTTAAAAGCATCCAAACGAGTACTATAATGGCATGGCTAATTATCATGCCAACCATGGCATAATACTGTGGGATAAGCATTAAACCAAACGGTAAAACTATCCCCCTTTTTGTTTTCTCTGCTTTTAATTTTTAATAACTAGCAGAGAGCACACATATTGTGTGTGTGAACAATTTCTCTTAATAAGTGCATATTTTTTTTAATATTACATAATTACTGTTTTGTCTTCCTTATGTAAATATTATGTATCAAAAGTGAGGGTACAATTGGAAAAATAGGGATATGATTGTCATTTTGTCAAAAGGTACAAAATTACTGTTTTGCCCTCCCATTGTCAATAGTGTGTATCAAAAGTGAGGGCAAAATAAGAAAAAAGGGGAAAAAAGTTGATAATGAGGGTTTTCTTACTATTATATCTATTAATTAATGAAACTTTATTTGTCATCCAAAAGAGGGAGAAAAGACAACTTAACCTTCTATTATACAAAAAAAATGATGGACAATAATTTAATTTCACATATCCAAATTTTACCGTTTTTTATTGAAGCCTCACCTACATATGATATTAAAATATCTCTAATATTTAAAATTAAAAAAAAAACCAGAAACAAAAACCTCCCACTCTCCCCACATTCTCTCTCTCTCTCCCCCTCTCTCCTTCTCATTTTCTAAAAAAATGTGTTCATACACACAAATTATGTAAGCAAATGCTAGTAACTATTATAATAATATAGATTTAACTCGAAATTAATTAACTTATCCAAAAAAGACTAACTTCTTGTTGTGGATTACCAAAAATTCAATTTAAATAGCACTTGAAAGTTGAAACCACCTCACAAGCCAAAATCCAAACCCAGACCCAAACCCAACCCTCCCTCTCTCAATCATTCTCTGCTTCCTTTTAGGTTTTTTTGTACTTTTTTCGTCCAATCATCATCGCTCTCTCCTTTCTCTCTCTAAATAATTTCCAATTGGTTTTTAGAGAGAGAGTGGCAGCAGGAGTGGGGAAGGAAGAAAGCCTGCTCCCGTCTCTGTGATCGTCTCTTCACTTCGAAGCTCTAGGGTTTGCCTTTGCCTCTGTTAGCTGTTGAGGTAATTTTTAATCCATATTTTGGTTGTAATTTTTTTTTTCAGTATTTGGTAAGTTTGATCAAATGGGTTTTTTTGGACTTGCAAAAGTTGTGTATAATGTTGCTTCAATCATTTATTGGGTTCCTTTTAGAATATTGAGTATTGGGTTTTGCTGGAAATTGTATAAAATTTGACCAAATTGTATAAATTATCGAACTTTTTGGGTATTTAGATGGCTACTGTGCTAATTTGTTCATAGCCAAAAAGGAGCCAAGAGTTAACTGTGCTAATCAGTAATTCCCCACTCTGAGGACTTGAGAGCTTGGACTGATATGCATTTCTGAGAAATTTTTTAATTTTTTTTATAGAATATTTAAAGGCTGTTTGAAACTTTTAGTGTTATCTAAAAAAGTATGGGTCTTTGATTCCATATAAATAACTGTTTATATTTGTGAATTCAAGACGGGAGCATTTATCTCTGGCTGTAAATTGTCCTACCTATAGAGAAATGGACACTTACCCTCTGTACAATATGCTGTTAATTCCTTTCCAAACTGGTTATTTGATGTATTTCTATGTCGAGACGCCTTTGATTTCTTGAATCGGGCAAACCAAGTACTTCGATGGAAGTTATTTTTTCTGGTGCCAATTCTCTGCACTTCGTTAAGGGGCATTTAAATTGGTAAACTACAGTTCGGTTTAAAAGGAAAGGGCTCCTGGATTTTTTAGGGATGGGATATTTGATTCTGTGCACCTATGTGTGGCCTTAAGAAATTTTCTGTTTTGCTTAAACTGTGAGAAAGATTTGAAAATTATGATTGACTTCCGATATGCTAAATATATAACACAGTGGTATTACTGTGAACATGATGATGAGTTTGGGGTTTGATTTTTATAAGATTAAAACAGAACGGTATTGTGTTTTCTTGAAACTCATTACTAGAGCACAAGTAAGGTTTGAGTTCCTTTACTCGCAATAATTTCATTGTGCACGCACTGGTTTTTCTCATTGGCCAATAGCATCAGTGTACTCCCAGCAATTATATATATATTAGCAATTATATATATAGGGGTGTGATATCCACACACCCCATTTTATTTCTCACACACCTTTTTAATTTTTGGCCGTCGGATCTGATGAATTGAAGAAGATCAACGGACAGAAATTATCAAGGGGTGTGTGGATAGCACACCCCACATATATATATATATATATATATATTATCTTACTCTTACTTTGTTACCATCACAGAAGTTTAACTCTTATGTATTGTTCATGGTAAACAGGAAAGGGATGCAATGAATCAATCTTTGAACTTTTCATCTTTTGGTAATATTCTTCAATTGTATATTGTGTATGTACTGATTATGTGCTATTTGTGATCTGATTGGCATGTCTGTTATCTTGTCTTGTAGGCTCAACTGAGGTTCCAATGGTGGGCATTCCTAAAGAAGTGGGTAGAGGAGGATGGGGTATTTTATCTGGATCTGGTGCCTACAATGCCTCAAGTGATGCTACCCTCTTTTCGAGCTCACTACCTGTTCTTCCACATCCGAAGTGTATGTGTGAGCTATTGTATTAAGATTTTTAATGTCCAGATTTAGAAGGGAATGCCTCATTCTATTTTTGCATATGTGCAGTGAATGTGAATGGTACTGAACATGGCTATCAATCTATTTATGATCTTTCGTCTGGCTTACAAAAAATCCACCAAACTTTGGAGGGTAATGATCCGCTTGAAGAAATTGAAACTCATGCAATTGGAAGCTCGCTTCCTGGCGATGAGGAGGAGCTATTAGCTGGCACAGCAGATGATCTTGACCTCAGCGGGTTGCCTGGTTCACTGGAAGACTTGGAAGATTATGATCTATTTGGTAGTGGAGGCGGCATGGAATTGGAAACTGATGCACAGGAGAGCCTGAGAATAGGCATGTCAAAAGTAAGTATAGCTGACAGTTCTACTGGGAATGGGATGGCTCAATTTGCCCTTCCAAATGGTATGGGAGCTGTTGCTGGAGAACATCCATATGGAGAGCATCCTTCCAGAACATTGTTTGTGCGAAATATCAATAGTAATGTCGAGGATTCAGAACTAAGCACACTTTTTGAGGTAGTTTAATCAAGGCAAAACTCCTTGTGTTCATGTTCATACCAGTAATACCCATATCCTTTGTTCGGTTTTCTAATCCCCTCTCGAGAAATTGTAATGGATTCTATTACTCACCCATTTGATTTTAGCATAAATCTTTCACTCTCTGAGCATAAGATGCATTTCCTGATTTTAAACTGTGAATAGGAGCAATGTATTAATTTGTTTTTGGATGATCTGAAGTACTGACGTTATCTGGCATGTTCTTTCCGTGCATAAAAGGAAACTAGTACCTATCACCTCATCTTTTTTTTCTTTTCATTTCTAACGATTTGGTTCCATTTCAGTTATTCTGCTAGATGACCAAGCCACCAGTTTTTATTTCTCATATTGATGTACAGGTTTTACTTATCATACATTTGTACACGTTTTGCCTCTTACTCATAGGGCATTGTGTATTTGAATCCCAGAACAGTTGTTTAAATTATAAAATCTGATGCATCATCTGACACCATACAGTTTGGAAGATCCAGCTCGTAATTTGTGTTTTCATTTCTCTATTTTGTAGCAATATGGGGATATTAGAACGCTGTACACTGCGTGTAAACATAGGGGCTTTGTGATGATATCTTATTATGATATTCGTGCTGCTCGAACTGCTATGCGCACATTACAAAACAAGCCTCTGCGACGGAGGAAACTTGATATTCACTTCTCAATTCCAAAGGTCAAAACAACTTTCCAGTACTAAATTAGTTGTTCTTTGACATTCATTTGTATATGTGAAAATATATAAATTACAATATTTGCATTCTTTCTCATGCAACACCAGGATAATCCATCAGAGAAGGATATTAATCAAGGAACTTTGGTAGTTTTCAATTTGGATCCATCAGTTTCAAATGAAGACCTCCGTCAAATATTTGGGGCTTATGGCGAGGTCAAAGAGGTGATGATTGTATCTTGCTTCACCCCCTCTATTTCTTGCTTTGTGTTTATTTACTTTTGAAAGTATGAGGCGGTTAACTTTTGTTTCTGGTGTTCATTGTACAAAGCAGATCAGGGAAACACCACACAAGAGGCATCATAAATTTATTGAGTATTATGATGTTAGAGCTGCAGAAGCAGCCCTTAAGTCGTTAAATAGGAGTGACATAGCTGGTAAACGCATAAAGCTTGAACCCAGTCGACCTGGTGGAGCTCGTCGAAAGTGAGTTGACAATATAAATGTTTTGATTTCTTGCTTTGTGATTATTTATTGTGATCTTGTTTCTATTTGGTTTCTTGGATTTTGGTTTGTTTAATTGTGTTTGAAGTTTGAACTAACTGTTGGTGTCTTTAATTGATTATATTTTCTACCTTTTAGCTTGATGCTGCAACTGAATCAAGACCCTGAACAAGATGAATCTCAGAGTTTTCAACATCCAGTGGGTTCCCCGATAACCATCTCTCCACCAGGTAACTTCTCATTTGAGATAAATTTTATCACTTGTGAACATACAAGGCTTCAACAAGTAAATATTTTCTGTTATTGCATTTTTCTTACAAAATGAGGTCAACGCAAAAAATTCTTCATAGGTAACTGGGCTCAGTTTCACAACCCAATGGAACATAGTCCTGTACGGAGTATTAGTAAATCTCCTGGTTTCGGGACAATTAGTCCAACAAACAGCAACCATTTGTCTGGATTAGCGTCAATTCTGCATCCCCAGACATCAAACACTGTGAAGGTTGCACCCATTGGCAATAACCATGGAAGGGGGAGTCATGCTGATCATATATTTTCCAATACAAACTCATCCCACGGATCTGCATTTCAACAATCCCACTCATTTCCAGAGAACTCAACCCATTTCCAAGGATCCATGCCCTCGTTCAGTCCTTCAACCTCAAGTGGATCTCATGTGGAAACATTATCAGGCCCGCAATTCCTTTGGGGGAGTCCGACTCCTTTCTCAGAAAACACCAACTCTTCAGCTTGGCATCACCAATCAGTGGGACATCAACTTACATCCAATGGGAAGAGGCATGCCTTTCCATTCTCAGGTCATAATGGCTCTTTGCTCAGCTCTTCCCATCATCATCATCATCATCATCATCATCATGTTGGATCTGCCCCATCTGGTGTTCATTTAGACAGCCGCTTTAATTACTTTCCAGAGTCACCAGAAACATCTTTTTTGGGTCCCACTGCCTATGGAGGCATGAGTTTGGGCCCCAGTCGTGGAAATTTTATGATTAACATGGGTGCTCGTGCTTCAAGAAATAGTGGCATATCCATACTGGGAAACATGTCTGAAAGTAGTTCGTCAAGCTTTAAAATGGTGGGCTCACCGAAGCTTAGCCCTGTGTTTTTAGGGAATGGCCCGTACGCAGGACTGCCACCTACAAGCATAGATGGTTTGATTGAGCGTGGGAGAAGCAGACGAATGGAGAATAATGGGACCCAGATTGATAGCAAGAAGCAGTTTCAGCTTGATTTGGATAAGATTGTCTCCGGGGAAGATACTCGAACAACATTAATGATTAAAAATATTCCAAACAAGTAAGACTGACTTCTACAATATTTCATGTATTTATCATATTTGACAGCCATTATCATGATTTTCATATTCTTGTTGTCTATCAGGTACACCTCGAAAATGTTACTTGCTGCAATAGATGAAAATCACAGGGGTACTTTTGATTTTCTCTATCTGCCAATTGATTTTAAGGTAATTTTTGGTTTCCTTAAGAGTTTGTTTTGATACTTTTTATGCGATAATATATTTTCATTTATTTTCTTCTACAATTCTCCCTTGATTGATATTCTTTATGTGCAGAACAAATGCAATGTGGGCTATGCATTTATCAATATGCTGTCTCCTTCACATATCATCCCGTTTTATGAGGTGCTTTTTCGTTTTCTTTTTGTTCTTTCGCCTCTTTGGATTTTATGTTCAATTCTTTGGGTTATTTCTACATCATTGTATTCATTGAACGGTATGCATACTGTCAATTTGAGCCTTCTCCTTGAGAAACCGAAATGGTACCGGCATGGTAGCAGGATGTGTTATTAATGTACACTTACTTCCATTTTTCTACAGGCATTTAATGGAAAGAAGTGGGAGAAGTTCAATAGTGAGAAAGTTGCCTCCTTGGCTTATGCTCGAATCCAGGGGAAGGTGGCTCTTGTAGCCCACTTTCAAAATTCAAGCCTAATGAATGAAGACAAACGTTGTCGTCCGATTCTCTTTCATTCTGAGGGTTCTGAGGCTGGTGATCAGGTAAAACAGTAAACACTACAGGAAAACAATGGCTTCATGAAACTTGTAGTGATTATTAATGTGCTCGCATTTTCTTTGATTCTTTGCTTCATAAAACTAGTTGAGTTGTTTTGATATTCCATACATTTGAAGACATTTGACACGACCCCTGTCCATTTGTTCTATATAGATCATCCAAGAGCATCTTCCTTCCAACAATTTGGACATCCAGGTCGGTCAGGAAAAGGAGTTGGACTCTGATTCATCAGGAAGCCCAGAGCGTGGCTTTGACGAGAAGCCAGATAAGAGTTAACAGTGTATCAAAGTAGATGCTACTGCTGAATTTGGTGGTGGCTGTGGCTTCCAACCATCATACACTATCAAGTATATATATGTAGGAGTCGGAGAAGTATGGGATGCAGAGTTTCTTTTGTAGCTCCTTTTACTAGTATCTTCTAGAGGGTTTGACTGGAAACACTCGGCAGCATTTTGTTTATCTGCAGTTAACGGTCAGATGAGAGAACGATGGTGCATGTCAACGAATCCAATTCTCCCTGCTGACAGCGTTTGCCGCCGGTTGTGCAGGTTTCTGAATTTTGGGCTCATTTTTGTTGTGCGACTTTGGGGTGTGGATAAGTTAGTCTGCAAATATGATGTGCATATAGGTATCATAGTACAAGTGTTTTGAGGGAGGGGTGGTTATTTGACTTGGGGTACAAAATTGTATGGTGGGGGAAAAACCTGCTGCTTTTTGGCGTTATTAATTTGTTGCAGTTCTTGAAATGGAAAATTCAAATGTTCATTTGAGATCGTGATATTTCTCAGCTTCAAATTAATCATCGAAATGTTATCAAATGTGTAGCTGAATATTGAAACGGGAAGTAATTTTCACGCACCTTTTGTTTCGTATGCACATCTTTGCATATTCTTAACCTTCAGATTGAACAAATCGGAGATGAATCTTCAGACAAAAATAATCAGAGGTGTCTGCAAATCATTTTTCCAGACGGACTAGGATCAATTTTAGCAATCAGAGCAGTGTGCCCGACTTCTTATACCCAAGTTCGAATCTCCAACTCCAACCAATATATGATCATCTGAAGATTTGCATTTACACAAAATACACAATTGATACATGCTATTTTATTTATTTATTTATTTATTTTAACTTCACATGTGTAAGTTTATCTTACATTGCCGGTCTCAAGCCCGGATAAAGGAGGAGGGGGAGGGCGTCAGGTAGTCGACAGCCGGCATTCCTATCTTACGTCGAATCCTTATGATATTTATTTATTTATTTTGTTCTAAACAAGGTAAAATACAATGCTAAACAGATGGAGGCTCAATAAACACAGACGCTCTCATGAAATTCAAGTCGTTGTGCTCTCATGAGACACACACAGCCTCTGCCTTTCTTTCTTGTGTTTAAGTTCAATGTTAACGAGGAAGTAACACTTATCGTGCTCTCTAACATACTGCACCTGACCATTCATTCTATTCAGAATTTTTCGTGACAGATTTAGTCCGAGACCTTCTTGTGTCGTCCATCTGTTTCCTCCCTCGAACATATCCTGTACAAGCGCTGTTGGAAGGCCCTGGCCGGGGTGTGTCATTCTACATGCACAAGAAGATGAAAACTAGGGTTTAGGGTTCAGGGTTTAAGGCTTCGGCTATAAACTTTGTCGAGGACAGGTAGAACTGATGCCAAATTTAGTATCTGTGCGTAGTTAAACATAGAACGTTACCTGAACTGGAGGCGGATGTAATTGTTGCCGTCCTGTATCAACTTTAAACCAGGTGAAATTTTAATTTCGACCCAGCCATTCGAGGAAGGTGCGTGATTCACTACATTGAGCAAGAAATCTGACAAAACCAGCTGAAGCCGGATTTGATCGCCATGTAAAGATAGTGACTTAATTTCTTCTGGAATCTCATGAAAGAGCTGCAGATTCTTTTCCCTCAGCGAGAGCATTGATTGGCTAATAATGACGTCCACTACGCTTCCCAACATAAATTCTTCCATGTTCAGCTTCACGCTACTGCATTAACCCGGAGAAGATGTGAGGCGTTGTCACACAGGCTCATCAGTGCACTAAAATAGAAACGAAACTATAGAAATAAAGTTACAACAGTTAACTTACGCATATCATGAACCAACTACGAATACTCACCCTTCGGCTATGCTCTTCACATCTATATCGTCGATGATTGTCATGATTTGTCTTTCACACGCATTGCTAGTGTCGAGGAATTGCTTCTGATATTCTGAAATAGTTGTACTTTCAAGGAGTCTGTGGGCAAACTGAATACCATTTAAAGCGTTTTTCATCTCTTGTCGCATGTATGTTAACTCCTTAAGTTTCGAAAAGCATTCTCCATCCTCTTGTATGCGTCCTTCCAAGGCCGACTGCAAGTCAGGCAAAAAAATTTGCAGGAAACAGAAACAACCAATTATATTCCCACCTGCATCAGTCCTCTTGTTAGCTGTTAAGAGCGCCTCAACGAACTTCCCCTTTCTATCAAAAAACCCGAACGGAAACTTCTCAATCTCTTTACCACTGATTCCTTGGTACAACATAATCATAAATTTAGTCAGTATATCTTGACCTCTCAGTCGACAAAGACCTCCAAAGATTTCCCCAGGAAGCGTTTTACCAATAACGTTATCTCTTGTCCAACCAGTAAGCTTTTCCATGGCTGAATTCCATTCAGAGCAGCAGGCATTCTCGTCAGATGCAAATATCGGTGGAATCAACGGGTTAAGACTTTGTATGATTGCCTTGTAATCCCCTTGCAAGCGGATGAATTTTTCCATAACAACCTTTTCACAAGTAATATCCTGACCCACAAAGCATACACCGACAACATTCTTTGCAGGACTCCTACTTGTGCAAGTGCTGGCGACAATATAGACAACCGAGTTATGCTGTGAAAGCCCGAAATTTCTCAGTTTTAGCTCAATGTTCTTGTCCTCCTCACCTGGATAGCATAGAAGTTAACAACGGTCATATTGTTTGGGAAAATTATTGAGAGGCATACGAGAGGACACAAACTAAGCATGAAAATTTCGAAAGTAAATTCCATTTGATTGACATTCAAATCGTCACAGATAGTAATTTATAACTGCAATCAAAGATTTACCTTGTAAGGCTCTGCGTAAAAGATTTTCAACAGCTTCACGCGAGTCCTCATAAACAATCTCATTAACTAGGGACTTCCCCATCGCTTCGCTATCTTGTAATCCTGTCAACTCAGCTATTTTTGCGTTCCATCCATTGATGAGACCATCCGAATCAACCCCGAAAATTGGAACAGAAGCTGTCTCAATCAACTTAACCATTTCAAATGCCACGGAACTGAGTTCATCTATCCCCTGCAACTGCATCTCAGCATCACTCTGTTGCACTGCCTTCGAACCAGTTTCCTCGATATCCTGAAACGAGTCTCTCATGATGAGCTGCAAAGAGTGGATGGCATTAATCTCAGAGATCTCCCAAGGCAAACTTCTAGTTTTTACTATCTCAAGAAAAGCTTTAAACGATGATCTCGGGTGCATCCTTTCACCGTCATCCTTGTCCCCTGGGTGATGCTTAGCTCCTCCCCATTTAACTTCCTCTGCCGTGTGGGACCTGAACCAAAACAAGAAATCTTTTGAACTGACCCTTGCGGTAGCCATACCACAAACTGCATTGCCCAGTAAAGGTGCGCCGGGGTAACCAGCTTCCGCCAAACTATCGGTACTCAGACCGGTGGAATCCCCATGATTGTTTAGCAGCCACTCTGCTATATCTTTAACCTGTGATTCAGTTGGAGTTACACCCATCAACCAGCATGTCCCACCATAGTACAATGCAGCCCCATCACACTTGACGAGATTCATTATACTCGGAGATTGGGTCACAATACCGGATGGGGAATCACGGAGGAGCATGTCACAGAGCAAAGTTTGTGTTCTGAGAATCTTTTTCTCAGCCAACTGCGATGCCAATTGAAGCTCCATGTAGATTTGCACGCCAAATGCCTGCATAAGAAACTCGCAAGCGTAGCGAAGAGGAAAAGGGACATAGCGGGGGGAAGCATGGTGGCACACCACCAACCCCCAAAGCTTCGTTGAATCATTACCATTGATAATAACCGCCATCACCAACGAGGCAATCGAGCCCATGTTCGCCATGTACTGTCTGTGGCAGCCATGTGGAGACCGGAGAGTTGAATTGACCAAGCACAGAGGTTGCTTCAGTTCTTCACTTTCAATGACTTTAACTGGATTCGCATTGCAATCGCAGATCATACGCACGCGATTCTGCTTGAACAAGAAACGGGCAGCTTGAGGGATATCCGTGGCAGGGTAATGCAAACCCAAATAAGACTCCAAATCTGACCTCCTAATTTCAGACACAACCTCACCGTGATCATCGTCATGGAACTTATAAACCATAACTCTGTCATATCCAGTAAGTTTCCGAACATCTTCTACAACTGTGTCACACAACACACCGATGTCCCCTCCAGGGAGAGACTGAAGCCTAGAAATTGCGCGAACCGCAAGCTTCTGTGACTGTACGGCCCCTGCAAGTGACAATGCAGGATCACCAGACCTAGCAGGCTCCAAATCAACCATAATCCCCACATCAATTCTATGCAAAATAGCATAAAATGGCTTCTGGGTACTCCTGGAATACACCCAAATCGGGTTTAACAGCGAAATCTCCCTCGAAGCAGCAGCTTTCGTCAATGAAGCCGCGGAAGGAGGAGTAAACAGAGTTCTACAATCCACCCCAATCAAACCCTTTAACTCATTTGACTGGAAAACACTATCCAATTTATCCAAACCCAGCAATTCATAGCAATTCTCACTGAAACCGAGAATTCGAAAAGTGGGTTCTTCAACTGCAAGCATACAGCCAAAGGATTGGACGAGAGAACCCCTTTGGATTCTCGATAAGTAGGCACTGATTTGCTCCTCGGGGACAGAATCCGGAGGAAAAAGCACTGACCTTGTGTAGTTGAAGGACTTACCGGAGACTGCAGACTGCTCGTACTCGGCCAAGAGGTTGGCGTCCTCTCTGTAGTGAGCGATTGACTTGTCGGGTCTGGCAGCAGCGGGGGTGGGTTTCATGTTGCTTGTGGCGGAGGAGGAGGAGAATGCGGCGGCGCGTGCTCCGTCACTGCTTTTTTCAAGCTCCATTGGGAGTGCTTTTGGGAAGGAGAGAAGGAGAAGGAGGAGAAGTGCTTTCTGTGGGAAGTGATTTTTCATGTGGGGGTTGGAAATCGAAAAGCAGGATAGTATGAGTAGCATGGCTAGTTCTGTACTTGGTGCTTCGGTAGTTGATGTTGGTTGGTGATGCTTCTGCTTGGACCTTCCTCACGTCCCTGTCATCGTTTTCGCGGTTTAGAATTTATCTCCTCCATAAGCTTAAGCGTGTCTGATCATCCGTTCCTAATCTTATGTTATTTGGCTCAACAGTCCACTTCTCTGTCGTCCTCGCTCTCTCTCTCTCTCTCTCTCTCTCTCTCTCTACAGTCTGTGTTCCTGCATTTTCCGCCATGCAAATTACACGACGCGTCACCTCAGTATCAAGGGCGCTTTAACGCAATAAATAAAAAACTAAAAAGAAGAGAGAGAGAAAAAAAACTACAAAAAGTGTGGGAGTTGGAAAATTCAGTTTTCTTCGACTACCGGTAACCGTCTAAAGTCGTTCTCTACTAAACGAGAAAGGGTAATAATAGGGAGTTTAAATTTGTATATTAAATTTTATAAATTAAATGATATTAAGTTGATGATTGGATTATGTTTAAGTGTTGATTAACATACTTATTTTTTTATTGGTGATATATCATTTAGTTTGCAAATTTAGTCGATAAGTTTAGTTTACCTAACATTATTCAACGAAAAATGTTCAAGAATTTCCCCTTTTAGGATATGAAATGGTACTCGTTGTTGGATCTGCAATAACAAATAATAAAGACTGGTTTGATAATTATTTTATTTTTAACGTTTATGCTACAAATAGATGAAGTATAGAGATGAAAAGAAGGATTTAAGAAGAGTGAATAGAAGGTGGTAGGCAGAGGTGGATGGAAGTAGGAATCAAGGTGATCTCAGGACCACATGAAGTTTGAAAAATATACGTACGAATATCTTCTAAGGACCTCTAAATATTCGGTACGAATCTCTTTTGTGCCTACTAAATGTTCAATGTAATACATACTAGGTATATCTAGACACGTTTGTTCCTATTTGAAAAACTTGAATTTGACACTAGAATCTCCCAAGATCCAAATCCTAAATTCGCGACTAATGGTGGAATGACACGAAGAATGTGTGTTAAAAATTAAAACACACGCCAAAATGAAGTTAATTTATAATATCTTTATTATGATACCCCTTGCAAGTTGCTTTTCCTCCGCATACATAACAAGCTAACTCGCAACATGCGATAGGAGGACAATTTGAGTAACAAAAGAGTAGGACTTCGAACTAACAATTTACCTGTATAAAGTTGGATGATACTCAAATACAATAAAACATGCTCTTTTTTGTGAGAAATGTCTAACCACTAGACTTTGTAGAAAATAGAAAGCAAAAAAAGGATGTACTATCCACACATCCTAATTTACTTCTTACACATCTCTTGTTAATTTATATCGGTTGATTTTCTTCGATTCATCTGATCTGACGATCAAAAATTAGAAAAATACATGAAAAGTAAAATGAGATGTGTAAATATCACATTCGCAAAAAAAAGGGAAGTGACATAAAGTGATGAACCAAACTTATAATTTTTGATTTAGTATGACCACAAATAATGTAATTTGTGTGGACCACCCGGATGCACAGACAGCCAATACCTGCAACAAAGTCACTTCAAACCACTTTATCGTACTCATAATTTCAGATTAAAAGTTTACTTAGCACTTGCTAATTAAGCCTTATTTCTTGGGAATTACGAACTAAACACGGTTTACTTTGTGTTTTGATAAGTGGTTTAGGAACAAATAATCAACATGTGGGCCAGGCCCCATATGCTTCGCAACGAAAAATCTAACTCCATATGTACGAACATGCGATACAGACGATCAAAATAAGCGGGGCCTTGTTCCGAGTTACTTCTTAGTGTTTATGAATCACGTAATGATTATTAAGAAAACGTTAAAATGTCCTTTTTTTTTTTTTTTTAATTTATTTATCAAAATAGTGGACTGTTGTGCTTTCGTCACCGGTTGATCTCCTCTCGAGACCTACTCATCGAAAAAACAACGTGGTCCTGTGATTGTTTTAGTCCACATAAAATGGCATCTCCATTTCAATTTGTTTTGGTTAGTTTTATTCACTAGCAATGAATGTGTCTCATTATCATTGAAACCAAATGGTTAGCTGAGGATGATGATGTGTACCTCAAAGGTTTGCTGACTTTGAACTTTCTTTCTTTCTTTTTTCATTTGTTTGGCAATTTTTGGGGTAAATTGTTTTGGTAAGGGCTTAATTTCTAAAAGTGATTTCCGCACATTATTCTCTCTTCTAATATTCTCTTATTTTAGATCGAACAAATCAAAGATGTGTTTTTAGAATGACTAAAAACGGTTCTATATAAAATATTTTTGAGTTTCAAAAGCACTAGAAATGTTTTCTGCAAGAAGCACAAGTTATGTATTTCTTTCATAAAACACTTGAAGTGCTTTTCCAAAATTTAATTGTATTTTTAATAAGGATTGGTTGCAGAAACATTTTCACTGAAAACATTTTTAGCAAATTTAAAAACACTTCCAAACGAGCTTCAAGATAATTAAGAAACATATACACGAGAGTGGGGGAATGTAATACCCCGTGTTTAAAAAAATTTGGTTAGAAAATGTGTGTGTACGTACTCATATCTATTTCAAATGTAATGATTTTTTTTTTAATTTCCTTACATAAGTACAAGAACTTGTATTTTTGATATGTAAGTTAGGAGGGATTCTTTCACTACAAAAATATATTTTTGTGCCTAACTAGTACTTTCAAACTCAAGTGTCTCTAACTAGAGAGGGTTCTATTTTTTTGGCATCCTCATCATAATTTTGTAACTTTGTCCAGTAACTGTGTATCTTATATGTATATATGCCTTAGTTTGATTTGTTAGGGTTTCTAGTTACCCTTTTCGTGCCAATACCAACTGAGTTACCCTTGCTAGCCTTTTTGATCTTTAATTAGTGAAGTGTAAAAGGGTTGGAGAGTTAAGCTCCGAGAGGTGGGAATTTTCTAGTAGTTAGCTTGATTTTTCTCCAAAGAATGAGGTGGAAGTTGGTAATTTAATAGAAGCTAATAATTAGGGTGAAGAGGTGGAGTCTATAGCATGTGTATGTTAGTCTATTTGCATGTAGGTGGCAACACTTTGAGGTATTAGAAGTGCTTAATCATCAATCTATAGGAATCTTAATCATTAGGATGATATTCACCACTCTAAATGTGGAGGTGGGAAGCCCTTGGCTTATACGTGTGTCTAAGTGCATGAGTTGGCAATATTTTGTGGTTAGAGTGTTGATTCACAAGGCTAAGAGGAATCTTAATCATTTGGCTACAATATTCTCTATTCAATTTTGTTCCAAATCTTCCAATGAGGTGGGAACGGGTGGGATTCGTATTCCTTAGAGTTTGGACGTGGCCTTTGATGCAAGGAACATCTTGCATGATATTCATTTGTTCATAACTAACTAGACACTTGTTGCTTTGCCACTTGAACACTTGTCATTCTTAATCATTAGAACAACATTAGTTGCCTTGTTATTGGAACACATTTTATGGTAATAATTAGCACAACACTTGGTTTTTTCTATTGGCACACTTGGGAGATATTTTGGAGATGAAGATGTCATGCAATCTTTATAAAGGAAGGAGAAAAGAACCATCGGAGGACATGGAGAAAAGAGGGAGGAAAGAAGAGAGAGCAAAATCGTCCTTCTTGTATACCTTTTCTTATATATTTAAGGCTCTAGGCCATTTTCATTGTAATTTGTACATATTTCTTACATAGTGAAAATATAAATGCATATGCAACTCTAGTGGACATAGCCGAATTGGTGAACCACTTAAATTCGGTGCATGACTCTGTTATTACAATATCTTACTCTCTTATTCTTTACTCTCCTAGTAAGAGCTATGAAAACACATCACCAATCAATAAAAATAGTTAGTTGTGCAAGTTGAATTAACGTGACTACAAATGAACGGAAGAAAACAACATTAGAAAGCCAAAGAACCAAAAATGGATTCTTTTGGTTATCATCATGTCAAGCTCGCCATTGCCAACCCAAGTCCTCAAATCTTTATCATCAACTCAACCTCACCTCTCACGCAACAACTGCTACGCTTGGCTTGTCACACTCACCAATGGCAACCACGACGAACGAGATGATGGGTGACGTTGTGGCTATGCTCTCATGAGAGTCACTCCATGTGCCTCATCCATCCCCACCAACTATCACCACCCTTGGTTATTATTATCATACTAAGATGATGAGAAAAAGATAAGGTGTTTTGTGATGACTGAAAAGGGAGAGCTATGAGAGGAAATGAAAGAAAGGAAAATAGTGGGAAGCAACATGTGAGTGAAAAAAGAGAGGGATAGTAATGAAGAAAGGTTGGGTTGTAGCAAGTGGGAGTACCAATTCAAAAGAAAGATGGCAGAGATAGTTCTTTGGGAGAAATTATGAGAAAAAGTGTATGAAAAGATTAGTGGTGTGTTGAAATAAAAATAAAAGATGAGTGGGATGGAAGAATAGAGTGGTTGGATCAACACAAAGAAAACATAAAATGAGTCTGATGGTGTATGTACTAAAATTAGAGAAAAATGAGTGAATTTGGAAAGATGAGGTTGGAGGGGGAAATTGAGTCATGGTTTCATGCCTTGTGATTTTTGAGACACATATTTCACTCTAACGATTCTCTTATCTAACATGGATGTCTATTCCTTTCTAATAAAAACAGGTTGCCCCACCAAGATGGACTAGATGATGAAAAATATATAGAGTGGTCAACGAGCAACACTTTATATGATGGATTATAAATTATTACTTTGTTATTAATATTATGATTATATTACTCTTGTTACTAATCAAATTGATTTATGTTGAAGCTTGCAGGCTTGTTAGATAAAATGTGAGTATTAATATCTATGTGCACATGACATATACATATGCATTGCAAAGCAAGAAAGAGAGTTCAATTGTGATGAGTCTTTTAAAGTGTTTGAGTTGTGAGGATATTCAAGGGTTGAAGTTTGCCTTGAATATAAAATAATGAATCTTGTATATGGCAAGCGTATGGTGCAGGGCTTGAGTATACAAATTGGTTGATTATAAAATAATGAAATCTTGTATATGTCAGGCGTCGGGGGAAGGGCTTGAATATACAATTGGGCGTTGGGGGAAATGGTTGTTTAATAAAGTGAAAACTAAGAGTTTAATTACAAAAATTGGGTTAAGGGATGAACGGGAGTTAACTCATATCCTAAGGTATTCAGGGCCAAGTGGTATAAGTATGGTATGGGATGTGTAGACTTAGGTGAATTAGGTATGTGTTAACGGGATTAGAAGGGGGTGAGTGCATTCATCCATCTCATTTACATATATTTCATGCATTCGAAAGAATTGTTACCATTTAATTATTATTTTGTTGTGAATTAATTTGTGCACTATAGTTATTTCGTTGCGTATTCAATTAATTTTAATAATTTTATTTTAATTTTTTCACCATGTCTTGATTGTAGAATTTATTTCTATAGCTAAGATATAGCTCACACCTTAACTCATGAATAGACTTTATTCGCGGGTCGGGGCGTGACAGGGAAATGAGTCATGGGCTTTTAATTAGGGGCGTATTTGTTTGGCAACCTTAAGTTTCACTGGACTGGACCATTTGGGTAGGATTATTATTCTGTGTTTGGTGCAAGCCGGGATTGAGTTTAATGGCATTAAGTCTGACTCGTGCCGACTAAATCCTTCGTTAGCTGGGCTTAACGAGAGCCTCCGAAAATGAGGGGATTCCTAGTCCCGTTTCCCCGCTTCCCTCGCTTCGCCTCGCCCCAAGCCTGAGAACTTGCCCTCCTACTGTCTCTCTCCCCACCTCCCTCTCGTCTGTCCAGAATATCTCTAAGTTTGCAAGAATTTTCAGGTCTGCAAGAATCCCTAAGTCTGCACCTGGGTTTGACAGAAACGATTCAAACGAATCTAAAAAGTCCAAGTCTGCAAGACTTGATTTGCCAGTATTTTCCCTTTTTTTGGGTTTTCGAATTGATTTTTCTGGGTTTTTAAATCGATTTTTCTGGGATTGGATTTTTCTAGGTTTTTAATTCATTTTTTCTGGGATTTGGTTTTCCTTCCGTGTGGAATCCCTATTTGGGTTTTTGAATTTTGAACAGGATAAAAGGTTATGGGTTGCGCTTTTTGCATTTTGTCTTGAAGGATTACAACTACGGAGGTATTTGATGGAAGGTCGAGAAGGAATTTTTTGTTGTTATTGAAGAGCTATTCGGCTACAAATCTTCAAGTAACTACTTGACCAGAAAATAAACATAGGACTTATGAAGGAGATGAACTCTCATATATCAGGAAAATGATTTTGTGAATTGGGTTGGATTTGTGAGTTGTATGTGAAATACCAAATTGAAGGATTTGATTTTTCTGGGATATTAGAGCTTTTGAGCAATTTGGAGTGGTTGAGCAAATTGAATGATTTCAATAGTTCTGCTTTTTCTGGGATAGCAAATTGAATGATTTCATTTAGTTCTGCTTTTTTTGGGATAGCAAATTGAAGAATTTGATTAATTCTGCAGAAACTTTCATGTTGGGGTTCACTTTCATTAGATGAGAATATTTTGTTACAGATCATGGTTTTTTTTTCTTTTTTTTTTGTCATTATTTTGCTTCTAATTCGACATTGCACCAAACGCTTTACTAAGTTAGTCCAGCTTAATCTAGTCTAAGGCAATCCAGCTTAGTCCTTGAAGCTAGTTCAGTTCGAGATAGTCCGGTGCAACAAACGCATCCTAGGAGTTCACACCCAAGTTTGTCCTTTAGACACCAAAACCCTAAATACTTTTTAGTAATGCTGGAAAGATTAATTTTTTAAATTATGTTTTGTAAATCACATGATATGTTTGTTGACTGTTGATCTTCTTTTTCAAATTCTTTAAATCTTGACATTGAATTCTATTGTCACATTATGTGATTACAAAATGTGGTTAAAATGATGGCCTCTCAAGCATTTTTCATATTTGTTTACCTCAAAAACATTTGTTTCGCTGACACAATTTAAATTAGAAAGGACAAGAAGCTTCTCACGTAATTTTTCAAGAGATGAGATTCGAACTTATAAACTCTTCCAATATTGATTAGAAAGGTAACACCGAACCAAGAAGCTAACTTGTTAACATGGAGACTAAGAGGATTTAAATATAATTTATTTGAAATGATGTTAATGATCATGATCAATCATTTATAATGCAAGAAAATAATTTTACCACGTGACTATATCCGAGTTATATAATAAAGTTTTGGCAACGTAATTTCCAACCCAAAAAAATTAGGCATAAATAAGAGTTGGCACACATTTATTCTCTTAATTAAAAAAAAGTTTAGGGGTAGATTGGTTACTCTTACAATCAGCGCTAGAGCATACTCACAACTTCGCCCCGAAAGAACTTATGTGTAACACTTAACTGTCAGCTATCATCAGTATAAATTTACGTAAAAATTTACAGTTGTAATGAATATTTTACGATCTTCACTTACAAGTGAAGTGTTACTGAGCGAAAATTAGGGAAAAATAAATATTATGTGATCAATAGGAATACAAAAATAAAAAGAAATTTATGGAGAGAGAATTAATTTTTAGGGTAAAGTACAAAAAACTACCTCAACTATTGGTTTCAAGACACTTTCATACCTCATCTTTTAAAAATGACAATATCATACCTTATCTTACGAATTTGTGCTAATGTCAAACCTCCGTTAGTTTTTCTATTAAATGCTGATGTGGCCAAAGATGGGACCCACTCACTAATCCAATTGGATTAAAAAAGTAAAAAAAATATATTTTTAATAATTAAATATTAAAAAATTAAAAATTAAAAAACTAAAAAAAATTAAAAATGGCCTAAGGTATCCGGCCTTCCCTTCCACCCGCACCAAGCCTTTTTCTTCTTCTCTTTGACAGCCACCAAACCCTTCCCCGTTCCCCCAACCTTCCTCCACCACCATCTATTCCTCTCTCTCTCTCTCTCTCTCTCTCTTTCTCTGGGATTCGATCTCCATCCTCTGTCCCTCTCCTTACCCGCACTCGTCTTTCCCTCACCACCACCTCCTAACCCGACACAACCTGGCCACAGATTGCTCCCACCATAAAAATCCCAACCCAACCCATCCCTTCTCTGTCCCGCGACCAATGAATGCTCTGGCGACGGAGGAGCTCAAGAAGGAAGAAAAGCCGATTAAGCAGACGAAACCCAGGACTTCGAAAGAGAGGAAGCCACAACAACCCAAACCCAAAACCAAAACTGCCGCTCATCCTCCATACTTTCAGGTACTTGGATTCGTGATCTCAGATCATGGTTTCTTTATTTTCTCCACCAGCTTTTGCTTTTGGGTTTTGAATTTTGGCTGCGAATTTTGTTTGCAGATGATAAAAGAGGCACTTTTGGCTCTGAATGAGAAGAGTGGGTCGAGTTCGTACGCCATATACCAAACCTACACCCAGATCCCTCCTCCGACCTCTCTCTTCCGTCTGATTCGTCGTCGACCCCACACCTCCTCCGACCTCTCTCCTTCTCTCAACCTCTCGGCTGTTAAAACCCTCATCTCCTTCCCACCTCCGCTCTCTTCACCTTCAAACCCTCCCCTTGTTCCCACCGTTATTCTCCTCCTCGGCATCGATGGTTGCATAGAGAAGAGGGAGTTATAATGGGAGATAGATGCGGGAAAAGATAAAGAGAAGAAAGAGAGAAGGGTTGGTGCGGGTGGAAGAAATGAAGGCCCGCATCTCTAGGCCTTTTTTATTTGTTTAATTTTTTTAATTTTTGAATATTTTATTATTTTTTTAATCCAGTTGGATTAGTGAGTGGATCCCGTCTCTAGCCACATCAGCATTTAACATAAAAAGTAACAGAAAAACTGACGGAGGTCTGACATTGGCACAGATTCGTAAGATGAGGTATGACATTGTCATTTTTAAAAGATAAGGTATCAAAGTATCTTGAGACTAATAGTTGAGATAGTTTTTTGTATTTTACCTGAATTTTTATTTTCTTTGCTTTGACGAAGTGGTTCACGCGCTAAAAAAGAGGGTGACCAAAATGGTCTTTGCCTAGCAACAAAAACACCTCCCTCTGTTTCCGGGAAAGTGCACGTGTCAAAAAGTCACTGTAAGCTGGCTCCACAGATTACGTGGCAAACTCCCATTGGCGAATATCATTTGGCGAAGATCCCATCAGAGCCGTCCGTATGATCCGAGCGAAGCCGACATATTACCTCTGTCTGACCGTTAAGAGAGAGAAGAACAGAGTCTTTACAGAGGAAGAGAGAGAGAGAGAGAGAGAGAGAGAGAGAGGGGGGAGGGGGTCAGCTTTCTCTACAGGTATTTTCTTCTCCTAATTTTCCTCTTCAATTTTTCACCTTTTTATTTCCACTATTCAGTATAATTATTATTAAATAATTACTAATTAATTTAGCTAATTACGGTTCCTGTTGCTCGAATTCAATTGCTTTTTCAGTGCTTGAATTTGGTTGATTTAACTGTATACAACTGCCATTGGAGCTTCGTGTTTAGGGTTTTAAGTTCGTTTGCGGGTTTTGATTGTTCTTTCTTTTGAGGAAATGCTTACACGATTTGAGAGTAGTTGTTTTGGTCAATGGGGTTTTGGAATTTAGAAGCTTTTCGTAATGAGTCTCTTGGTCTGGTTTGGTTGACTTCAAATCTCGAGCTTTTACTTGGAAATTTCGGAGCTTTCACATTGGGGTTTTCGATTTTGTGCCTGTTTAGGTAATCAGTATGTTATCTTTAATGTGCGTGTGTGTTTGTGGTTATTTTTCAGTTTTTAATTCATAATTTTTTTTCAAGAAATATGGTTTTTGAAGAAGAAATTATGCATTTTTAGTAGATTTTGGAATCGGCGTTTGAGTTTACTTAGATTTCAACGAGATAGTATTGTAAATTTTGAGGTCAAAGGCCATTTTGGATGGATTTTTCTGTTCCTTGATTCGGATGTATCATGTTTGGATCATTTCGTGGAATGCATAAATCTGTAAACACAATAATTTTGACTTTTAGATGGTGATTTGAGCAGTGGTGTGCTGAGGAGGCTGTGGCTGTGTCGTGGCGGCATGAAAGCTTTCTGGTTAGTAAGGGAATTTTAATAGCCTTGTTGACGAGCCTTGTTTGTTGGGTTAGTTTACTTGTTTTAAGGATAGCCCAGTGTTTGACTTTAGGTTTCATTTCTTGAAGTTGAGATGAAAAGTATCATCGCTGCTCATTTATATTTGGGGAGGAGGGAAGTTTCTCTCTTTTTCAGATGGGAAAAAGGGAATTTAAACATGTGGGTGTTTACTTGCGGGATGTAGTGAATATCTTGCAGCTGTTTAATCATGTTGAGTGGATGGTATCCATCAATGTGATCCCTGATGTTAAAGGGTGTCTTACGTTGTTGTCGACACACAGGAGAAACAAACTATATATGGTTGTAGTTGCAAAACTGTAGCATCTTCTTTGGAAGTCCAGTTTTAGATGGATTTATTGAATATTTTACTTTTTAATGGATGACCTCAGCATCTGATGCAAGAGAATCAGCAGTTGATTACGATATTCTTTGACATGGTTACTGATTGTTGTGGGGAGGATAGCTTTGGTAATTAATTAACTTATTTCCCAATTTACTAGGTGAAATCTTGCTTTTGCACTTGTTTATTATCATGTGTAGTTTATCTGTGTGCAAGTTACTTTATTTGTGTGCTGACGAGCCTTAATTCTTTTCCTCCCCAAACAGATACATTAGCGACAGTTCGACACAGTTTTTGGAAAACTTCAAAAAGCTTGGAGTTTAGATTGCTAATCATCAGTACTATGAATATTTGATTAGATACCCCAGACACAGATACGTGGACCCCACTACAAACTGTATGTTGCTTAATTTCTCTACTGCATGGTTCCCATTGTTACGGTTTCTTTTAGATTAGTATCATTTACTTTATTCTTATCTTGATTTTTTTTTTTTTTTTTTAATGACAGAGAGTCAAGATTGTGGTGCACATCACACGTACAGATCAAATGCCATCTTTCAAGATGAAGGCTCAATCAAGCATGGGATGTTTACGAGAAAAAAATGGTCTTCGTGTATGTCAAAGGTCAAGTGTGATTTCCAAGAATTCTCATGCTAGGAAATCGGAACATTCTGAAGATTTTGACACTTGTAATAATTGTCAGGAGGGTAAGAAACCAAACATAAAGAAGTTGAAGTTTGACCTATCATGTAGTATTATAGTAAGGACTTCACTATGTATCTTTGTATTGATGTGATCAAGCTATCTCATACTGCCTATCCAGATTTGAACATTCCACGCAAGTTTCTGTGGGTATTAGTAATATGGTAAACTATGATATTAGGTTGCACTGCTTAGCAAAGTCTGGAAAAAAATGCAGAATTTCAAAGTCTATGTTAATTTTCCACGCATTTGAGCTTGCTGGCTTTCTAGTTTGTAAAATGCATTATTCAAATATTTCTTATGATTCTAATTGAGCATGCAATGGAAGTTTCAATGAAGGACACTGATTCAGTCCGTGCAAAACTATCTGCATCTAAATTTTTTTTGTTTAATTATTAATATTAGAGCTTCTTATTATTCATAGTTTCTTCAAGCACACAAGTTTCTACTATAGAAATTGGAAGTGATGAAGCAATTGAACATCAGGAATTTCTGGGCGAGCAAACTGGTCAAATTCAGAAGCAGTCATGCGATTCTCCCACCAAAAGAATGGCAAGTATTTATTTTGAAGTTACGGTGTTGTGGGCACCATTTTTTCTGTTTGTCATTTCACAGTGCATTGCCTTTAATTTCATGAAGTTTGAGTAACCTGTAAATAAAAATTTATTATTCTCATCTTTGTCTTCTTGATCAAGGTTTTCTAGAATTGCACCTTGTGGGCCTTAAAATTCCTTATAAGCTTGTATACCAACGGTTGTTTATTAATTTCAGGACTCCTGTCAGGCCTGCCCATCAGACATAAAGACAATTTTCTCTCCTGCTTTGGAGTCCAGTGAAGTGAACGGCGAACAAAATAGTGAACCAAATGCTGACATTGATGCAGGTATGTCTCAAACTCAGTTTATTGAACATATAGAGAATCTACTGGGTATTTGTGGTTTTGCCATTGAAACCCCAGCCAAAGTTGAATAAAACAACCACTTCTCAGTTCTTTTATACAATTAAAAAAGGAACAAATAGGATGGGTATGTGTTAGCCCTGAACCAAGTGTAAAGCTATCCTCAAAACTTTATTCAGTATATTAGGTTATTTGACCAAATAAAATTCAACCACTTTCGGGTGGTAAACTGGTAAACGTGTTTCAAATAAATAATCTAATCTTCCTTGTCATTTAATGTAATGTAATGTTACATGTTCAGACGAGATACTATCTAATATGCTAATCTTGTCCTGCCTTTTCAGTGTTAGGAGCTGGTGACAGTGATGATAACGGAAGTTCATGTGATAATCGAACTTGCGATGTATCAGATTTCTACATTTCTGACATGATAATTTCAAGCTTACCCTTCGACGAGAATGCATTTCATGATGATATAAGTGAAACGAATTGCTTCCAAGACTACAAATCAGCTGAACCAAATATGTTTTTTGATGTGTCTGAGCAATACATGGTATTGCCTTTCCTAGAAGACACTATCAGAAGCAGTAATTTTAATACTAATGATGACAAATCATGTGAAGAAGCCATGATAGATACAAATTGTGCTGAAATGTATTTGGGAATTGGTCAGATGAGCCCCTGCAACCTGGAAACGGTTGTTAACTCTTCTGACTCAAATCAGGCAGAGTCCTTTGATCCACAGTTGTTCATAAAAAACTTACCAGAATTATCAGAGGTGGTATCAAATTATCAACCCAACATGTTGCCCGAGGAAGCTTCAAAAAGAAAGTCTGTAACTCTTGTACTTGATTTGGATGGTAAGTAATGCTATACGCATGTGTTTTCATATGGTTGTGTGCTATCTTGTCATCATTTAACGTTACATCTGGCATATTTTTTAGATCATTTTAATGTTACATCGGACATATTTTTTAGACCAGTTGGGAGATTCTAATCGCTAATTTTGGAAATTTTATTTGTTAAATGTTATCTTAAGACTTAAATGACAAATATTCTTTAAATTTCCTAATGAATGGATATTGAAATCATTTAGTTCCCTTAACAAGTTCATCAAAGTCCATTGATCTATGCTACTGGTAGAGAACCTCGTCCTGAACTCTACATGAAGATGGTATACTAACAAAATGCCTACAAGTCAAAATTGAAAGCCATAATGTTGAAAATTACTAATGAAGTTGTGGAAAATTTTGTGTTACCCATTTCTGGTCTCAGTGCAACATTTTAGGATTCTATCCATTGTGTAGTTGAAGTTTTGGCACATTCACCCTCTTTATACATAGGTGTGCGAGAAAACCTTATCTCTTAATATCATCATAATGTTATACATAAAATGTTATATATATATATATATGTTTATAGTTCAGTCTTTATTTGCTCATAATGACACAAACTGTGACCCAGTTCGGTGAACACTTTTTTTTTTTAAAAAATTTCAGTTAATTTTGTCTCAAAGGTGTTGACTAGTTGTAAATGCAGTTTATAGTGTTTATATAAGAGTGATTGGTTGGTATATGTGCCACATAAACAATCTGGCCTCTGTCTAGAAAGCAAATCTCTTATTCTTTCAGTTAATACCTTACACGTGAACATGTTCACATGTACTTATGTGAGTGTGTGCTTGTCTGTCCATGGCCACATTAATACATTCATATGTATATATGTGAGTGCTTGTGTATTTATAATTTAGGCTTAGGATATAGTACACCAAGGTTCTAGGAATGTTATTTTTCCTTTTTCGTTTCTTTATTTGGTTGACTTTTGTCTGATCTTTTGGGAAAATATTTAATCAGTCAGAAATACTATTTCCAAATACGATGTAAATGATAAGGTACAAATCCGGACCACCATACCAACTATGCCCTTAGCAGGGATAGATCAACTAGGGTTCCTGCAGATCCAGTCTTCTACTTAGATATTTTTCAGTTTAATCTCAGTGTGATTTTTAGAGTTCATTCAAGAAATGTACGTTGATGATAAGTTGCTGAAATGTAATGTTGCTATACGTGCAGAAACACTGGTTCATTCTACATTGGAACATCGAGATGACGCGGACTTCACATTTACTGTCTTTTTCAACATGAAAGAGCACATGGTATATGTGAAACGGAGGCCTCACCTGCAAACTTTCTTGGAGAGAGTTGCAGAAATGTTTGAAGTTGTTATTTTTACTGCCAGCCAAAGCATATATGCAGCGCAGCTTCTTGATATATTGGATCCATATGCAAAGTTTATATCTCGCCGAGTTTATCGTGAATCATGCATTTTCTTGGATGGCAGTTACACTAAAGATTTGACAGTTTTGGGTGTTGATCTTGCGAAAGTTGCCATAATTGATAATACTCCACAGGTATAGCCCTTGGGCTTTTGTGTTAATTGCTTGGAATTTACTTATTTTTTTATCTGCCTTATTTTTTGCATTATGGGTTGTTCTATTGCTTGAGAACTCGCACCTTATTTCAGATTCTATATTATTAATTTCTTCTTTTGCCTAAATAAAAATTTATGATTCGAACGGTACTCTTTAAGTTTTTGAAGCGGGCAAGCAGTGGGTACTAAATAAAAACTGATCTTATTCCTGGTGAAAAAAAAAAACCCTAGTTGTACCAAAATATGTAAGTAGGCAAAAAAAGGAGAAAATGATAATTAACCTACTATACTTGTACCTGCAAAATAAACATAAAGGCAGAGAGAAAAAGTGAAAAGAATGAACCTTGTTGTTACTGAATAAACCGATTGTTTTACCTTTATTCTCTTTTGACTATTTCAGGTCTTCCGCTTGCAAGTTAATAATGGAATTCCTATAAAGAGTTGGTTTGATGATCCGTCTGATAGTGCTTTGATTTCGTTACTTCCCTTCTTAGAGACCCTGGTTAATGCTGATGATGTTCGTCCTATAATTGCCAAAAAATTCGGTAACAAGGAATAAGAGTCAATTGCCTTCTCACTTGCTTGAATATAGAAGCTCATTGCCCCCTCTCATCCTTTTTAGCAAATATTGGCCTCTAATCTAGATGCTCATCGTTCTTTTTCTTTTAAGGTCATGAGATAAATAGCTATAGAATAAGCTCTTACTTTACCTTTTGTTAGCGTGCTGGTTCTTGTTCCCTTATTTTCTGCGTTTCAGCTGACAACACTGTGGAATGGGTTGTCTGATTTTTGTTCAAAGGTAATTGTAGAGAAAGTCTTATTTATCCTTATTGTATAGTTTTAAGTTTTGCTTATCAGGGTGTACACATGGGAAAATTTATCTATACAATCTTGGTCTTTAATCAGGATGCTCCACTTTCTTTTCACTTGATCTCGTGAGATTTAGTTATGCAATTAAATTTTCTTTTCCTTATTGGCTGTCAGCTCTTCGATCCTGTTTCCTTGTTTTCTTCCTTTCAGCTGACAACACTGCAGAATAGTTTGTTAGTTTTTGTTCCAAGGTAACTGTATGGAATGCCTATTTTGCTCTTATCAAACAAGTTTAAGTTGCTTTCTACAGTATGCATGAACGCTATAATTCTTGAAAACGTGACATCTTACTGACTTTTGCCGCATATAACACACAGCTTTCGATACATTGTCTTAAATAAATAACATTCACAATGCAAGTATGCTAGCACTTGAAAGCTGGAACTTTGGGCCTGATCTGGTCATTTTTAACTCTTAAAATTTTGTTATATTTTCATTTAATTATAAGATTATGTTTCGTAGAAAAGAAATTAATATCTTGTGTCAAAATTTTGAATTGGAAAGCCTGTGCAGTAAGCCTGTATAGATAGAAAACAAATCAAGTGGCTTATAAAGGACAATCTCTTACTAAACCTTATCTTTTTGACATCCTCTTAAGTATCTACTAGTAAGGAAATATTCAAACGCTGAATTTAACGTTCGTTAATTTGAATTTTCAAAATTCAAATGATAGTCATGGAAGTAATAATTACTGTAAAAACTCGAAGTTGAGCCTGTGATACTGCATATGTGTGATTCTGTAGTAAATAAACAGTTCATAAAAATTTATACTGAGGAAAAAAAATGGAAGTGCTACAATAATTAACGGCATTGAATACTTTCTGAAATAAAAATTAAGTTATGCTTCTGATGAAATGATTTCTCGTATTATGCTAAATGGAGTTGAGAACTTTTCTGTAGTTCTGTGAAGGTTTGGCCCTTCTGGATAAGAAACAAGAAACAGGGAGGAACACAAAGAGGAGGACAAACTACTTGTGCATCCTATGTCTACAGGGCATCATGTTCCCAGAAGATTTGTTCGTACGCTTTGACCGACTGACTTTTTCTGGTTTACTATGTTCTAGAAATTAGTTTTTAGTTTCATTTTCTTTTCCTGAAGAGTTTAAATTACCGAAGCTCCATTTCTCGATTAAATCAAAATAGCTTGAAACAGAAATGTGAGGGGAAGTAATTTGACTATGCATCACATCAAATTAGGTATTGTCAATTTCGTTTTCTGATTAGGAATTCAAACCTTTGAATAATACATCACAGATTGTATGTTTAAGTGAATTATATACTATGATTCAAGATTACTAAATATATTTAAGTGAACTATATGTACTGCATGGTGGCATAGGAAGTTCAGGTTAAGTATAGGCATGTTTCTACCCCACGAGGATATGGGGCATGAAATCCAGCATATAAACTGATTTAGGTCATACTCTTCATTAGATGCTGAACTGACTGACCTCTTAAATGGAAAACCGTCGTGAGGATGCTTGTTTTTTGTGCATACAAAGATAATGCATGAAGTATTGACAGGATCGGCCTCCTGCATAGTTTTCTGCTATCATGTTGAGAGGGCTGTGCAGATTGTGGAGACAAAAAGGGTTCGAATATCAGAGAGATTAGCTGGGTTGTTAAATTAGCTTGACTAACATTGCTGTTCTTGATCTTCTGCAAATTTAGTCTCTTTGCGCTTTTACAACTTTGCATGCGTTGTCTGCAGGTCATGCGGAGAACACTAACACATTTTCTGGTAATGTAAGTCAGTTGTCGAGTTGTGTTGCTAGTTACTTCTTGATAAGTCTGTAAAGACTTGTATTATAAAAGCATAGAATTTTACTTCAAGTGACGTTTGCAACGGGTGGTGGTTGTGTAATTCCTGTTTAGATAATCACATTCTTTTCCGTTCGTTGCTTCCCCCTTCATTTGCTTGTTTCATACTTGCCAATGGCTATGATTATCTTGAATATAAGTACAAGTATAGCTGCTGCTGGTTGTTTTCTTTTATCGTAACATTATGATTTGATAAATCTGAGAACACATGCTTCCACGGCCATGAACAAGCAACGGCGAAGCTACAAATTGTGGAATGTTCAGTATGCAGTTCAACTGACTACTAACATCCTTCTCACATACATCGACATTTGACGAATTCATGTTTGAAGCCTATTTGCAACGCAAAACCATGGCTCTATGTACAGGGGCCAGCCTCTACTGGCTGAGAAGAGCTCGTCCCTAGCATTTTCCTTATCATACAACTTATTCTACCACCTCTTCATTTTTCTTCCATAGAATTTTTACAAGAAGTGCTACAAAATTGTGGTTTCAAAACATTTTTTTTGTTTTTGACTCGCTAAGTAGCAAGAGAAAACACTTGTCATCACGCATTGCACATGTTATAATATGGTGTGAACTAAATGATCAATATGTCCATCTTCTAAGAATATTGATAAAAAAAAAACTAAATAACGTGTTATAATTTTAGTTGAATCATCATGTGATGGTGTTCTTGATACACCAAAAAAAGTATCCTAATTCCCTAAGCAGCGAACACCTACGAGCTAGTCCCTTGTTGCTGATGCTGAATCACCAACACACTAAATTTGCGGCAATAATCCGCCGAGGCAAGCATGTCGCCGATAACCCCAAGTTCCGGGTACTCACTCCATTGCTCAAGACCCAAAGTCTGAGGGCTTCTCACGTTGTATCTCCTCCCTACTATGTACAGGTCGTATTCATCCTCGTCCATCAACGACCGTATTTTCCTTGTCGTTTGAGTTCCGTCGTCCACGTGTTCTTCTACATAACTCACGTACCCTACACCATTATGCCTTACTTCCTTCAACATCTCATTGTCCTGCACCACCTCCCAGTTGGTGAAACTTTCTTTGTCCTCGGACGCGTCCACCAGCCGAATCACCGTCAGGCTAATGCACGCGTCCCTAACCATGCGTTTTGCGAACATAAGCGCCTCCCAGTCGTCACTCCCTCCGATGAAAACCAATGCAACTCGATACGTTTCTGTAGGTGATACTGAGGAGTTGGTGCATTTTACGTGACCCCGGTTCACAAGAATGCCAACTGAACACGGCGCAGTTTCGAGCACCCGACAATTGAGCGTCCTTGCGGCTTGGTTTTCCAACTCTATAGACCCGTTAGTAACCGACCACTTTCGATGGAACGGCAGGATTATGAGCGATATGTTTTTGTCCAGAGCGAGGGTGCATACGTCGTCGTACATGTATAGGGGTGGAGATATAGCCGTAAATACATGGACGAAGACTGCTCCTTCATTCTCTTTTTTAAACTGAACGAACGAACGGATGATGTTATCGGAGTAGGAATAATTAGAAAGGGCTCTCGTTTGTAAGTTGTGCGAGATTAAGACGGAGGTGGTTCGAGCAACTAGCTCGATGAGGTGAAGAACGTAGAGGCCGATGGGGCTTTCTCGAGTCGGGCACGAGGCATCGATAAGGTTGATTATGGCCGGGGTGTTATCAGCTCTGTTGATGCATGCGAGAATTCGGAGCTCCGAATTGGGTTTGGAATTGAGAAGGGTTTTTCTGTAGTAGCCTTCATATTTTTTCTTAGGATCGTACAAGTACTTCACAAGAGGTGGCACGACAATTGCACTCAATAAAACTGTGAACATCATATGGTTAAAGACCCCAGAAACTATAACCTGCACGTAACAAAAGAAAACCATGGAGAACATGATTGTGTTAGAGGTCGGGTTCTACTTCTATTAGAGAGATTGTTAGCAATAAAGAAATTATAGCGCATCGTAACAATATGACATGTTATAATTAATATTTTCGTAGCATTTTGTTGTAATATCGCGACCAAAATATGAATGTGCATTTGAATTCTACTATTATTAAAGATGTGGTCAACAATATAGAAAAATTAGTTCGTGACAACAATTACATAGTCTAATAAATCTATTCAGACTAAAACAAGTATTATTTATAGTTTATATCTTGATTCCTAACACCATATTCACATGTCACGTAATATTATAGAATTGATGTAAAAGTTTACATACCCAAGTGTCTTTAGCGATGGTGTATGCAGCTATCTCAACAACGCCTTTGCTGGTCATTATGAGAGCCAGTGCCACTGCATGCCTCAGAGGCATCTTGCAACACAAAGGAGTCACCATAGAGGCTGCAAATTTGCTCAAGAAAATCACAAAAGTAACAATGGCGGTGCTTAATACCACCCTTCTATGAGCCGGAGGCATTTCTAAGGATACTGTAACCCTCATCAAGGACGTGGTCACAAAAACTGGCATGAAAACCCTATTGACCATAAAGTCAAGCTTTGTGACCAAAGTAGCTCCTAGTGGGGGCCCATCTGGCACAGCGAACCCTAAGATCAAAGGGCCGATCATGATCGGGAGCTCACACCAGTGGGAAAACAATCCAGATCCCAAAAATGCCAGCAGGATGAAGAAAATGTATGAATCCTTAACAGGGCTGCCTTCAGGGGTTCTTTTCACAATCCAAAACATTATTGGACGGAAAACACAGAAAACAGATAAAGTATAGATTATCATCACCCCAATGTCCATCATGCCCCTCAATGCATCGTTCTGCAAGACTTTCACCAACGTCGCAACAGTAGTTAGGGCAATGCTAAAGAAGTCACAGACGAGTGCAGAAGATAATGCGAGCCGGCCAAGTTCGGTGTTTAGGATCTTGAGCTCGGTGAGGAGGCAAGCAATGACGGTAGACGGAGCCTGAATATGAATTGCTGTTACGAAAATAAGCTGCACGACTTCGTCCGCGTCTAAGGACCATTCCCAGGAGAGGAAGAGCAGCGTTAAGAAGCCGGCTATTAGAGGCACCACCAAGGCTAAAACGCCGTTGTAGATAGCCTTTTTTCCGGTTTTCGATACTAATCCCAAGTCTATTTTGACTCCGATCAAGAAGCTGAAGAGTGTGAATCCAAACAGTGATATTACGTTGAGTACTTCTTGATTAGTAAAAGGAAATATGGGATTCTCTTGTTCAGGACGAAAATGTTGGATCACTCTGTCAAGTCCTGCATCACCAAGGAGTATTCCAGTCTGTATGGTTCAACAAAAATCGAGAAAATAAGTGTCCGTTAATTGGTCAAATAATGTCACCGCTATAGTAAATATAATTCACCAAAAATGCTACTCTTACTACTTAATTCTACCATAAGATAGGACCCACATGCGTTTACGGGATCTACTCTATTAAAGAGATAATACAAATAAAGGTACAAATATGTGGTAAATGTAGCATCACTCATGAGTTAATTAACGAAGTAAAAAAACACTCATGGTCTCTAGGTAAAAAAATACCAAACATATTTGGTGTGACAATTTTAGCTTTGTCAATCGCTATATATTAAACTTGGCGCCAAAAACTTGTCCAACGAATGTAACCTTGCCCTATGACTCTGTTCCTTCTTGTAAAGATTTTGAGTAAACCCTAAATGTTGATTGGTTTTGCCCTACGACTGAAAATTTTGTCAAGTGAAGTACTTTACCCGATAAAATGTGGTTTGTCAGGAAAGATTTGTAGGGCAACCCTATTTTCTGGTAGTGGGAGAGGGAGTTTGTTTTTGTGGGATTTGTGACAGTAGGGCGATCGGCTAGCTATCTCATATCTCACACAAAACAAAATTCCGTTCCTGAATCCACCTGTTTGTTACTATTATTTTCTTTCTAATAAAGCCTAATTAAATGACCGCGTAAGACAATTCGGACATTCCCATGGACGACTATCGATCAACTATATGTACTGCATTAGGTGAGATCGATATATCTATGATTATTTAACCTAGACCGACCATAGAGATGAAAGAAAACTTGAATGCATGGGAATTAAAGGCACATGATAAATGTAGAACGTACGTACCACAAGTTGAGCGGCAAGCACTGGGAGGCCAAACATATTGAGAAACAAATGGGTGAGTTGGGTGACGACGTAGATGAGAGTCATTTCAAATTCCAGAACTGGGAGGGTGTAGTTCTGCAACGGAAACGAGAAATGCAGGAGCGATGCCTTAACACTCACCCTACTAGTTTGTGATGCATTCCATATGCCTATTGAATTAACACGACTCGGAAATACCGTGCATATTGTTACAGGATGATGAATCACATTATTCATTTTTTCTTGGTACGAATTTTCGCCACTGCTCCACTAGAAGACCAAGAAGATGAGATTCGAATTTGAAACCTCTTCCAACTCTAAAAAGAATGTCTTAGCAACAAACTAAGAGCTAGTCTATATATGGTATTTACATGTGCAACAGTAATAGTTGGAATGGACGGTCTGTGTTAGCTAGGTTTAGCGAGAAAGCTGTCATGAACAAGTTTTTTAACAGAGTAACGGTCACCACCCCTTTTTACCGTCTGTAACTTCTCTAGAAGTGCTTTAGGATGTCAAAAAGGTTAATTCTGTTATTGATAAGACATAAGTTTCAAATGGTTTCACCAAGGAGGTTTCCCGCTCAGGTTGCTGCGACTAAGAATGGACGGTCTGTGTTAGCTGGAAGCAGGGCCGGCCCTGAGAATTTGGAGGCTCTAAGCGAGCTTTCGAAGTGGAGCCCTAAAATTCTCTGATCTCCGATTCTTTGTATATTGATTTGTATTAAAAAGAATTCGCTAAATACATAAAAAGTTTTATTTTCACATCAAATATCATTAAAATTTAATATCAAAAGAAGATAAATATACAAACATTATTTAAACATTACACAGATTCACGTTTTTAGACACAAATGTACTAAATGTTTGCAGTCAAGAGTTTAAGATTGAGAGTGAAGAACAATAAAACTTGATTGACAAGTACAATAAATTCAACGCCAATTGTGTCTCTTGTGTTTTTTTTTTTCCTTCTAAAATCAACATCACACTAACGAATTGAATATTAAAATAATCCATTGAATAAAATGTTATTGAAAAGAAAAATATATAATTCAAAGTTTTGATTACCTTAAAGTACAATCTTTAAGACCATATAATAGTTGGTTTAAACATTCAATAGAAATGGAGAGAATATGAAGTTGGTTTAAACATTCAATAGAAATAGAGAGAATGGGAAGTTGAAAGAAAAAAGATTGCAAAGAGACTTGAGTTTTATAACTTTATATGCATTTGAACAGATGGATTGGTAGTAAATTTGAAAAACAAGAAAAGTTAAGAAAAAAACTAGTAACTGAAGGGCAGCTTCGTGTTTCGAACTCAACACCCCAAAGAAAAATGAAGCCAACATTTCCATTGCACTAATAAATGAATTATGATATTTCTTACCTTTTTTTTTTTGTATTTATATGCTAATTACAGGATATAAATTTTTTTTGGGAGCCCTTATGAAGTGGGGGCCTAGGCGGCCGCCTACTTGGGCTACCCTTAAGGCCGACCCTGGCTAGAAGAGTTGGGATTCATATCCAACTCTTCAACTGATAATTCATTGTATTATCTTGTATTTTTTCAGTTTTGTAAAATTGTAATTCGAGATAAGTTTTCTTAATTTATGTAATTTACGTCTATAAATACAATGATCTGAACTCACTCAGAATTAACTGAGTTGAGCATCAGCAACTCTTTTAGCTTTCAAACTTTTATGCGTGAATATTTATGTTATATGGTCTCCATGAGCAAATACCTAATGTCTCCAATTTTCTGACGATCAAGCTTGATCGTACAAAGTTACCCACTTTGGCAAGCACAAATGCTGCCCCTGCTTCGCAGCAGGAGCCTTGTTCCCATCGTCGATGGCACCAGTCAGTGGAAAAAAATTTCATTGTGACGGGAACACAAGTGGTAGATCACGTGTTTTAATAGAAGTGGTGGGAAATTTTTTTTTTTAAGTTATTAACCTTTTAGCACACATATTTCATTATTTGTATAATGACACGTGGTGTACCACCTCGTATACCGGTCACACTAAAAAATCTCTACAATCAGTGGAGAGATTTTTTAGTGTGACCGGCACACGAGGTGGTACACCATGTGTCACTATACAAATGGTGGGATATATGTGTTAAAGGTGTACCACTTTTATTCCCGTCACAATCAAAAATTTCTTCAGTCAGTGCCCTCCCGCATTTCTTAAGGACAGTGATGGCAATATTACTTGACACCGTCAATCCAGCTTTTGAGGCTTGGATTCAGCAGGACCCCATGACATCCTATTGAATCCACGCCTCAAAGGCCGGATTGACAGTGTCAGTAATATTGACGTCACCGTTCTTAAAAAATACGGCAGGGCACTGGCTAGTGCCATTGACGATGGGAACAAGGTTCCTGTTGCGAAGCAGGGGCAACATTTGTGCTTGCCAAAGTGTGTAATTTGTACGATCAAGCTTGATCGTCAGAAAATTGGAGACACTAGGGAGAGTGGGGATGGGTTGGGTTGGAGAGGAGGAGGAGTCTGAGGAGGCCGTTTCTGAGAAAAAAAATTATTTGTTCTGTCCTATGTTATAATCTGCATACGACTATGCACCATTTTTGGCTTGATTTGTTAGTAAATTTTCTCGTAGTTATTTTTCAGTGAAATGTGAGATTAAATTTATTCAGTTTATACTATTGTTAAGAGGAAAAGGTTCAAGGCAACCATGAAGAAAAACTTAAGATCCACCAAAGGAATCATATTGCACAATATTTAGATGCGTCTCATTTTCCACCAAGTTGAAATTAGTGAATCCTCGTTGTTTTCGTGTTATAATTGAAACTGTAATAGATCACGATCTCAAGATTGTCTATGTTACACATTAAATTAAATTAGAAATCGTTTGGTTATTTATATGTATCACACAAGTGCACAACTTATTATTGTTCAAGCTTAAATTTGATGGGGCTAACAAAGACTAGTATAGTCGTGTAGTTGGTCCTTGTTGGCCTCGAGATCAAAATGATAAGAACTGAACAACATTATTTAAGTGGTTCACCCCTTAAAACTGGGTTACGTCCACTGCATCTCTCAATTAGTCCAACCCATTGTAAGGAGTACCCGTCCTTAAATAGGCCCTCATTGAGCCCCAAATCTTTGGACTCGAGTCTTCCACCACCTTTGTATTTAATGCGCCAAATACGTAGACCTGACCTGCTAGCTACCATTCTGTTCTTCAATCAACACGTGGTAGCGAAGTGACATCCATTCAGGTCCACTTGTATGTTTTCTTGGGCAACGCGTACCGAGTGCTTTGCTTGACCCTGAAGTTGGTGAGAGTCCACACTTGAGCGCTTAATCTGTCAGCCTTTAGTCCCTTTATAGGCTTTTGTTCTTTTTGATATCCATCAGGTGCCCTGAAGTTGATGTTTGAGTAGGCTTGTCCCTGAGACTCTGTGTTATAAAGTTGTCAGTACACCAACTCATTCCTAGCAGTTGGAAAGTACTTTATGAGGAAGCGATCGATTTTGTTGCTTGCAAAAAAACCAAACCGTTGAGTGATCATTCGTAGTGCTCCATGGTCTTCCTTTGAGCATGTGTTCCTTTGAACCTTTAGGGGTCGGAAAAGACCATGCGTTAACAACTATGAGAATTAATTTTTTTTAGCCAAAACGTCGTAAGAATCTCAATTTGTTACCAAAATTGTTAATTTTTTCGATACATATTGATGCCTAAGCATGTTAACACAATCACATCAATTAAAATTATCATATTGAAGTAAATCAAATGAATCTATAATACAAACTGTTTCATCACTTAATCAGATTAAACAAACCACAAAAACCTAATCTCAACCTCAAAGTTAAAAGCAAGGAAGACGGCCATATAATAAGAACACACCTAAACATTACACATACTAAAAGTATCTGCAACAAAATTAGCTTATCGAAGAATAAAAACATTTTTCATTCATTTGATTTCGATCTAAGCCAAAAAATTGTAATTTCACATCCAGCTAAAGAAATTTGTTCAAATGCCAAGTATTCAAGCGTAAATTCCATGTGTTATAAAATAAGTGAAAGTACACAAAAATTATATTATTTCTTTTCTCGTATCATGACATGTAAAGTATCGCTTCAAACTTGATATTTTGAAAATATCTCTCATCCACCTGTGTATGATGTGACCTACAACCGCAAACCCCGCACGTGTACGGTGGCCGTGGATCCAAATTATTTGCCGCGAAATAGTGAACCGCACTCTAGTGTTTGTCTCTTTATTGTACCCTCGAAGCCAAGAGCAGCAAGCAGAAAGCACAAAAAAGCAGAAAGCAGAGTTCGAAAACTACAAAAATGGCGACTCTCTCACTCTCCTCCACTTCACCACCGACTGTCTCTCTCTACAACGTCAGCAGCAGCGGCACTGCCACCTCCAAATTCTCCGCCTTTCAACTGAGGTCGGCCAAGCTCTCTTGTCTTCGTCTGAGCTCACTCCACCGCAACCCTCTCAGGTAATCTCGTAATTTCACTCTCAATGCTTCAGATATCAATCGATCTGAGAGTGCAACGTTGTTGTTTTTGTTTGGCGCAGAGTTTCGATTGGTGGAAAGAAGGAGTTCATGGTGATGAAGGGTAAGAGGAGGGGATCGGGTGCGATGTGTTACGCTGCACCTCTCTCTGTCAACACCCTCCAGTTTGTCTCCACCATCTCTTCTGCGTAATTCTCTCTCTCTCTCGCTCCCTCGACAGCATTGGATTTTAGTAAAAACCCTTCAAACTCAATATTTTAGAGAAAAAAATCCAGCTGATTTTGTAATGGGAAAAAGAAATTTCAAAACTAAGAGCCAATTAGAGCATGACAATTGATAAAGATGGTTTTTTTTTTATATAAATTTGATTTTATTGTTGTTGTGGGGTGTTTTTTTAATAAATCTTTTGAGATTCCATGAAAGTTTTCTGCTTTCAGTATTGAGATGTTGAGTGAGATGGATTAATGGTTGAATGGGTAATTGGGTATTCAAATTTCTTACATTTCCAGGATTCTGTTGCTTGCAAAAGGGACTGCTGTTCAGAAATCATTTCTTGTTCCCTTATTTCTTCTACAAGCGCCGGATGCCGTCATCTCATGGATTAAGTAAGCATTTCAAAAACTTGGGGTTTTCTTCTTTCCGTTTCTTGTTTTTTATTGCTAGAAAGTTTTTTTCTTGGTATCCTGTGGAGCACGTTTGCGGTCTAAGCTTAAATGTATAACTTGGCTGACATTCATGACTTTGGCTTGTAGGAGTGAATATGGTTTCTGGACTGCGTTCCTAGCCCTTCTTGTTCGTCTCTTCTTCTTTATTCCCGGTAGGTTCTCTTCTGAATTCTGAGTTCTTGGTTTGAGTGTTGGGCTAGACAATGCTAAACGGGGAGAGTTATCTGGTTTTCTCAAATGATAGTTTCTAATTACGACATGGTTTGTTGGTTTTATTCAATTCACTAGTGGGGAACAACCCATTTCTCGTAATCTACCCATCTTTGTGGATATTATAGTATTTGAAGATGCCCTTATTTTCAATATACTGACTTTTTAAGTTTGGTCTGAAATTGGGAGTCATATTTTGAACCATGTCCGGGTCATAGGTATAAGTTTGGTCTGAAATTGGCACTACTCTAAGTCTTATTGAGGTGTGTTAATATAGTGGTGCACTTGCCATATCAATTATCCTCTGTCAATTAATATTATATATGGTCTTATTTTGTTCTTTCTCAGGGGAACTTGAGTTGCCATTGACAGCATTACTCCTGGTGATTGTGGCTCCTCACCAAGTTCTGCACATAAGGTGCGCAAATGCATCGTTTAAGACGAACTTTTGCCAATTATCAGTGATTTTCTTGGTTCTTATGTTTCAATGTGTTCCATTGGCAGGGGAAGACAAGAAGGTGCTATTATTGCACTGGTCGTTGCAGCATATTTGGCTTTCCAGCACTTCTCACGAATAGGAAGCCTGCGGAGATCATTTGAGCGAGGTTCAATTATTGCTACCATAGCCATCATTTCCATCACTGTTCTGTCATGCTTGTTCCTGTTCTGAGTTTATTGTAAATAAGGAGCAAGTCTGATAATAGTCATTAGTTACCTTTCGTTCGCCTGTTAGATTTCTTTAGCAAACAAGATAATAAAGTTCTAAATTTGTATTTATGTTTGTTTATTATAAGGAATTACTGTCGGTGTGATCTATCATCTGATTTTGTACTCTTGAATCACTCGTATGTATGGTAATAAAAGAGATATTATCAGCTAAGAGGCAGGTTGTTGCTCTTCATTTTCAATCATAATTTTCTGATGCCAAGACACATCAAATGGTTCACTTTAGACCACTGAGATACATTTACATAAATCAATCTTTGTGCATTGTGCATCCTGTTTCGTGTTTGTTAAGTTAGTGATCAAGTTGATCTTTCCATGCACACAAGAATTGTCTTCTTTCCTTGTTCTAGTATTTTTCTTTTGGAGTGTCTTAACCCCGCGTTGCGGGCAGTGGTTTTGGGAAAGCATCACTTTTGAGTAAACTGATGCCATTTTTGGGATCTATAATGAAAGACTGAAAGTACAATAATATGAATTAAGCAAAATTTTACTGTTGAAATAACTTGTATTAACATTTTGTAAGTAGCAAATGAAGAAGAGCTTAGGTATCTATTGTCTTCGTCTTCCAAGAAAGTAGCGTACAAGTTATGTAAGTTTCTTATGTGTTTGTTGATAAACAGGAAACATACCCGATATTGAATACATTGATTCTTCTGTAGTATCTTAATGGGGTATGCCAGATAAGACATAGGTCATTCCTTCAACCGACTACTTTACATCCATTCTTTCTAGTTAGGTCAATAATATTCATTACTACACCTATTACTCTGTCATATGTCTATGTATGTGTTGTTCTTTGGGATCATAGGGAAATTGCGTATGTTAATATCATGTAGTAAGCATTTATCAATATATATGAAAGAGGGGCTGAAGCCTGGTGGCCTTAACTAATAATTTATTGTACTAAAACTGCATATAAGGGACCTATATGTCTACAAATACAAGAACCTAAAAAATATCTATGCTTTTCTGTCCTTAGGCTTAATAGTCAACGATTGGGTAATACATTGACGAAGTATGGCAGTAATTCAAATGGTGAGGAACAAGGCCTAGGGGTAACATAGTAGCTTGTTTTGAGTCTCGGGGCCTCGTTGAAATTTATGTAGGATGCTGGCAAGTGAATGGCTTGCCATCAAATTGCAGATAGAGTAGCTGAAACGTAGTTTCCCTTTAGATATAATTTTCTGCGAGAAGTGACCCCAAGATCCCAGTCATGATGAATAGCAGCAACATGCAAGATGAGATTGAGGTTGCTGAGTTAGGGGAATCTGTTGGTGAGTCACCATAAATTGTTGATCCTCCACCTGGTGTAGCGATGCTTGGGGTGTATGGTGATGTAGTTGTTGTCGGCATTGTCGGTGTTGATGGTGTTGTTGACATCATTGGCGTTGGTGGCGACATTGTTGGCGTTGGTGGTGAGTTCATGCTGAATTTGCAAAGTAGAATAAGATTTCTGTTTTACTTTATGTATTTATAAATGAAGTTGGAGGTAGGGCTATGAAAGGTTACCTGGTTGATGCTGAGGAAGATGCAAAGCGACAGCTACCAGTACCTGCAATTTGGCAGAGCAAGGAGTTCAGTATTTATTCAAGCGTACATGTAACAAGAACAGCAAGGTCAGGAATTGAATTTGTTAAGTGGCGGATCTGAAACTTTTGGAAAAGAAATGGAGATTTCTTTCTGTGTTTCTTTCTGCGATAAGTGGAATTTTTAGGACAAGTGATAAGCTTGATAGAAACAATGTTCTGAAAATGTCTTACTTGGGTCAGTGTTGGTGACTTGAGCTGTTCCGCCGAAACTGCAGCTGGTAGGAGATGGGTGCTTCTGATAGTAGTCATTGAAGGCGTAGGAAGCGTGACCTTGAAGAGTGTTTGGGTTATAACAGCTTCCGCCCTGATTAATTGCTGAACAGTCTGCAGCTCCATAGCCACAAGCATAATCAAGAGCTACCTGCAAGGCATTCTGTGCCGCAGATTGGCTTGCAATACACCAAGTACCACCCGATGATGGAGTCGTGGTGGGAGTTGTGGTGGGAGTTGTCGGGGTCAGGGTCGGTGGTATTGGGATTGGAGTTGTGGTTGGTGATGGTGGGTATGTCGGGTTCACAAACGGTGTAGGAGTTGTTGGTAGAGTACTTGGATTGACTGTGGGAATGTTATCGAGCTGCGTAGTATACACCGAAGATGCAGAAAGTATATGCTTTTCTTGATTCACTTGCGTTCTTCTTTGGTGGGTTGCTTCCAAAAGAGGATTCTTTGGAACACTTGAACCTGAAGATATGAAAAGCATGGTATCAGATTGAATTAAAGGAGCATGCTAAATGCTTCTTGTGCTTGAATATAATCATTTTTCCTATGCTTGGATCATACGGAAATGAGGTGGATTAGCATTAGATAGAACTTCATGTAGTTTTGACTCGAAAATGTCACAAACCGTAGACGTTTTGAAATTAGAAGCGGCTGGTTTCCGAATCCAGTGCTCTTTAGAAATAGTAATCTTAATATCTTCATAAATCTATAGACATGAAGGAAAATTGATGATCATTGAGGAAATCCGGATTGGTGGTTCGAAGGCTCGTGTTGAAACACACAGAAGGAAGAGAAACGCATAACCAGGCAGGAACAGAGACCCATACAGCAATTCAAATTACCTGAACTAAAGCAAAAAAACAAGAAAAGCAAAGCAGAACGCCGAAGTGAGCCAACACCCATCTCTCCTAGCTACTTCTCTTCTTCTGCACTCTTGTGATTGCAGGTTTTCTTTGAGGCTCGAAACAATGATGCGGAAGCCAAGATATACTACCCAAGAGGAACAGAAATGGTGGAGGTACTGCAAAAAAGAAGCTTGTACGTCCTTTCTCTGCATATTTATTTTATATATGATATACCAAGAGGAAGAATCGTATCTTTCTTGGATCGAAGAGAGACGAAAAGAGAGAAGGGGAGGGAGAATATAGAAAACTTGAGAAAGGAGGAATTGGGTAAGTTGGATATGCAAGCAAGAGATGGTTGCAAGAAAAGAAGTGTATGAAATGGGGAAAGGCAAAAGAGAATGATCTGTTGGGATCTAAATCTCATGTTCAATGCTCATGGGATTCAAATCTCATGTTTTATTCCGGTTAGGAGATGCTACTATGAGACAGAATGTCAGGGCAAAAAGGGTATAGGAAGACCTATGTAGACGAAAGAGAATTTAAAAAAAGATATGAAGTATTTTGAGCTAACATAAGACTTGACGCAAAACTGAACGCAATAACATTTTGGGATTCATACACCTGACTTCACTTAGTAGAATAAGACTCGGTGGTGGTTGTTGTTTGGGCTAATAAATTGGGAATCTCTCTGCAGAATCTTGTGTTTTAACCTTATTGTTTTGTGCTCTTCTTTCTACTGTTTTTGGTGTACTTTGTTCAGTTGAGGTGGTTTTTTTATTTTTCATGGTAGTGAATCAAAAAGTTAAAGTTGTTGATGAGGGATTTTATGAGTAGCATCTGGTGGTCTGTAATCGAGAATATTGTCTCCCCTGGTCGATTTCTTTGTTCGTTGCTCATGTGATATTGTTTTGCTTTCTCAAAGAACAAGTTGGCATTGTTTTTTCTTAGCAAAAGGAGAAACTTGGCCTTAATATGGGCTCAAGAGCCTTTCAACTTTGCCTAAAACGACTATCCGCCCTTGAGATCTCACCCGTCGAGCAGGGACGAAAGTCAGCCTTAGTGATCCAACAGTGCCGAGCAGAGGGTTGTTGCTAAACGGATAAAAGTTACTCTAGGATTAACAAACTAGTCATCTCATATAAAGGGAACGTAACAAAACGTCAATACTGATTGATCCATAATTAGACAAATCAATGCATAGAACAAAAAGACAACTAGCGATATTTTACTTTAAAATAATTGAAACAATGAAGAGGGGAATTTGAATCTGAGTGCATACGGGGAGCACATATGCTCTAGTCAACGTTCCTACTGACTAAGTCCATGTGTGCAACGAGCACAGTTAATCATGCTCGTTATTTATTGGGCATTTCTGACCTAATTTAGAACAAAACTTTTGGTGTGAACCAACACAGATGAGGAGAAAAACCATATGACGTGAGAGGACATATTTGGGTTTGTTGCTTGCTTTCTTTTGAGGTCAGTGTGGAGTTTCGTGGCAATTAAGGTTCACCTCCTCAAAAGCAGAATCGCCAATTTTAACTAAAATTTAATTAAAACTTTTAACTAAAATGTAATGCAAAGCCTCCATATTTGGTATATAGGAGGACGTACTTGAATTCCTATGATAAAAATTAAGGAAAATTAACGACAAGTCTTCAAAAATTTTAGTTTTAATGAAAAATGATAAATAAAGGTGTAAGTGAATAGTACTAAGAAAGGTAAAAATGCGGTACTTGAATTCCTATGATAAAAATTAAGGAAAATTAACGAAAAGTCTTCAAAAATTTTAGTTTTAATGAAAAATGACAAATAAAGGTGTAAGTGAATAGTACTAAGAAAGGTAAAAATGCGGTTTTTCATTAAAAGTAAACAGTACCGAAAGTGTTTCGTTAAAACTTTTAAATTAAGCAATGGCTTGATCACAAATTACAGCAATATTTGGGTATGGAATAGGGGTGCAAGTTGGCATGATTTCAGCTTTCTGACAGTAAAATTTCGAATCCAAATCCATAAATTCTCCAATCCGAATATTTTCCAAATTTTTTTAACAAAAATCAAAATGCACTAGACAATTCCAATCAAATTTTTAAAGGTGTTCCGAACTTGTTCTGAGAAAAAAATTCGAAAAATTCTGATTTCTTATAGTTATGTATTTTGTTATCAACTTTTGTATTTTAAATTAACCTAATCAGATGAACGATCATGATGATAAGGTAATCAGAAAATAACCCCGTGGTTTTATCAGGACAACGCAGTTTCCTAGTGCAGGCCATTGGATTTAAAATGCAGTTTTAGATATATTTTGTTTATTATTTTTAAACATACTTTTATCTATAAAACTAAAATAAATAAAAAATGTATAGCATATTTTCCTATACTAGTATATTCCGCCATCCCCCAGGTTCTTCTCCAATGCAAAATCCCCATGCGAGCACAGAGCACTCCTGCGATATGTTTCATCACACAACTCAAAATTCAAGAGTCCTAAACACATTGGCCATCTCGTGCAGTTGCAGGCACACATTATCGACGAATACCGCTGCTGCTTTCATGGTAGGAACGAACCGTCTCAACCACTGATCTATCCCCGCTGAAGCATACTACACTGTGAAAGACGTTGCGTGACGTCACTCCATGCTGCAGATAAAAGAGATCCCAGATTACTTGAGGACTTGAGCACATTTATTGCAAAAGAATGATGTTAAGTATTGTACCTGGGAATTTTTGAAAATCAGGCTCTATTCCGTTGCCATTTATGTCCTTGTGTTTTGGTGTGACATACTTCCCAACAGTTACAACCACGCCAGAGCCATCACGAAGTTCAAATACAGATTGAATTAAACCCTGTCAAAAGCATCAGGACGCCATCAGAATCATAAAGAGAACTAACCATTAGAAAGCAAGTTGTTGGAATCTAGCTAAATGCAGTTCCGTTACAAGACATATACAATAAACATGCAAAGACAATGTTGAGCAACAGTAAAAACTGAAACAGCGATGGCAAATTTTTTTACCTTGCCAAATGTCCGTTCACCCACAAGAACCCCTCTACAATTATCATGCAAAGCGGAAGCAACCTGCAATGAGAGCCACCGATGTAAGTGCTTGAATTGTACGAACCAAAAAAATCATACATAATTGGGATAATCGAGCTGCTCACAATTTCACTTGCACTAGCAGTATTGTTGTTCACCAAAACCTGTGTTAGAAGTTAAGTCAAGAGCCTTGTCATAACTCATAAACTCGAGATGTTTGCAATTACACTTGCCACAAATACAATTCATGGAAACAGATAAAAAGTATCTTAGACATGTACAAGGGCGTACAATAACAGGTGCTGTAACTAATGGTGCAGTATCTGCAACGATGCTTTGTTGGTATTCGGGATCCTTCCCGTCTGTATAAATCACCTGTTCATAATCATCAACAAGAAAAAACACCACATTAACACAATCATTCTACTAGCATACAGGAGCTACTTAGAGAACGCAACACAAAGGACTAACGCCAAACACAAACACCACCAATGAGAAAATAAACATGAAAAATGTATCTGCAAAAAGGAAAAAGGAAAAACGCATACCGTCTCCCCTTGATTTAGAAATAGCTTGGCAATTTCTATTCCAGCCTGAAAATATGCAAACAGGTTTAAATAAAGAATCTTGATATTGCAGAATTCATCTGAACAAATTACTAACAGGGAACATACAACATAACTGAGTTTGTGCTAAGAATCAATGTTACATGATTGATTGAATACAACTACAGAAAAAGGATGCATGATTTTCCACAAAAATATGTAAATTTTCATTTTATTATTGACAATGGCATTATCGTATAAAGACTTGATAACGACAATTCAATTTCTGTGATTGAAACAATAAATGATGACCACACATGGATTATCTAGCGACATTTTCAAATATTATTGAAATTGTCATTTATTTAGACAATCGTACAGTCTGACAAATACGACCAAGACTAATGGCAAGTCATGATGAATCGAAACATTCACATGGCTCATGTGTTTATAGAGCCTGATTGAGCAAAAAAAGGAGAGAGATTTACCGTTTTTTATGGCTCTATTCTTTTGGAAGCTAGAACAGGATAGAAGTAATAAATTTGTACATCATGTGATCAAAGATAAACTAGCAGTTATAGTTAAGGAGTATATGAGTAATAAACCTACTAGCTAGCTAAAAGATCCACATTGCCAACAAAACCAGTAGTTAGGATGAGCGAAATTCTCTGAGGTGTAATCATCAAACCTAGCATTAACTCAAAAGTTATCTCTCAACTAGCAGTTATAGTTAAGGAGTATATGAGTAATAAAACCTAGTCACTAGCTAAAAGATCCACAAAGAATGAAATTCTGCAAGGTGTAATCATCAAACCTAGCACTAACTTAAAGTTATCTCAAGATCCAGAATGGAAACCTGTACTAGTCCACCACGATTATCTCTAAGATCCAGAATGAAGTATGAGGCACCCATGTCCTGAAGCCGCTTCATAGCTGCAAAATCAATTTTTCCTTCAATATCCACCCTACCACTAACTGACACTATAAGTCTAGTATAAAGCAAAGGAAGAAGCTGCTACTGCCCTTATAAATAAGGTAGAGCATAAAAATATTGAAGCTGGCGAACTGGGAACAAAACTGAGAAATTTAAGTATTTAGAAAAATAACAAATGGTTGTAAAGATAATCATGATTCAGCAGGTGTAACGAATTGAAACTGATGATGAATCATAAAAGCAGGTATTTCCATGGTGACATTGCCCAATCTCTATATATTCAGTTGTTTCCGATAAAATAGGTTTATTACTTTGGATACTATCCCGTTCCTCCTAGATATAGAACAGCCCCAAAGAGAAGGAACATGAAGTAGTTCCTTTTTGCTCTCCATTTACCACTAATGCTTAAAACCAAAAATATGCAAAGAAACACTTTCATGCTCAGAAATTTTACGCATTATAACAACATGCAACTGATTAATTTAGATTAAGAATAAGTGATATGTAACATTCAGTTGAATTTGCTAAAACCACATACCAATTACCAAGTCCTTTCTAGCCAATGCATTGAACTCTTTTACTCGCATGTATCCGACAGATCTGGTTCCATTTTCTATTTGTTCCAACCGATAAAAGACAGGGGTTCGAGCAACAAGTTGTCTTTGGACTTCAATAGACTGAATAGGCCCACAATTGCCGTGCTTGACCTGAAATGTATGATGATGTTTATTCTCAACAATCATTTTAAAACAAACCAACAAAATGGTAAATTAGCAGTACTCATTGAGAAGCTTAATTTAAATGACAACCTATTTTTGGTAGAGAAACAAAACATCAGTATTCAGTACAAATAGTATCACAACCTTAATAGTAACGAACGTCTCGTTAGGGCCTTGCATCAATGATGATACTTCAAAAGCTGATTTCCCTTTCACATCCAATCCATTAACAGCTAGTACTTCATCCCCCTACCAAATAATAAAATGCAAGAAAACATATAACCAGCAGCCAACACAAAACCCCTTCAAGACTTTATGTGAGTTTGTAGAAAAGCCAAAGTGGAGAGGGAGTTATGGAAACAGACATAATATTACATCTATAACTGCAAGTTTGGTATAGGAATACCTGTCTCACACCTGCAGATTGTGCAGGACCATCCAGTACAAGTCCTAGTACCTTCACTTTCACATCTCCGTTTTCATCTGGGACTTCCCTGAGGTTTATTCCAATACCACTCATGTCATACCTCGCCATCTTGGAGAACTTTCATTTCAACATGACAAAAGTGACATATGCCATGGAATAAGATACGCTGTAAAGTTCGTAAATAAACACCAAGTGAAGACAACATGTATGTTGTAAGGGATGACATTCATAAGCAAAGCCCTTAATTTTTCTTCCCATCTTTCCTTAGCACAATGTCTCCTAACACTAAACCTTGTAGCATGATGGTCATGTAAAGAAACGATATCAGAAGGAAAAATACTAGAAAATCCAAATACAGAGAGACTGAGGAGGGGGGCAAATAATGAACTACCTCTTCGGGGGAAAGAAATCGCGTATAAGGGTCACCCAAGCTGGCCAACATTCGCTTAATCATATCATGAGCCTTAGCTCTTGTCTTTATTGAACTACTTCTTATGTCTTCCTTTTTCCTCTACGAAAAACATCTCCAACCATTAATCTCATACACACGCATTATATATACAAATATAAACGCATGAGCGCGGGCACACACGCACATATTATGAACTGAATCAACGAAGTATATATGCATATGCAAAAAAAGAACAATTACTCCCTAATCAAGTCCTTAACTAAATTTCATTCCAGAAATTAACTAACTTTCATTCGGAAATCAACTAACTTTGTTTCACATTTCTCTACAATCAACTTTCGCACGCGTCAAAATCGAAGTTCTACAAATGCACACGTGTGTACCTGCCAAGTTTCAGGGAATGAGCTCGAGCGGCCGGTGTTGATAAAGCTGTCATTGACAATTTCCCAAGCCTCCTCCACAATCCCCTCATTGGTCACCGCCACCGCTGCTTCGGGTACCAAAAACTCCGCCGCTTCACCTCCTTCTTCCTCGCGACAATACTCCGTCGACGGCGGAGAAGAAGAAGGAGAAGGCTCAATTGCTATGGAAGGCGAAGGCGAAGAGACCAAAAGACACAGCGACAGAGCCCCACCTAGGGCTCCAACAAGAGCTTTCTCGGCCCAATTGATCGAATTTCGCTTGAAATTGGATCGAATCGGGGATTTTAGGGTTTCCGATAAGGGCGGTGGTGAGAGTGAGAGTGTGGTGTTGCTGAGCAACAGAACCCTCATCTTCTTCTCCTCCTCCTCCCAATCAGAAATTAAAATTTACTTTTTTATTTAATTTCGCGGGAGTTTAAATACGCGGCGTTTTGACCTTTGTGACAGTTTGCCACGTGGGAAGGGGGTCTGTTTGGGTGCGTGTGGGAGTTTAATCCAGTCCCGGGGTAGAACGGACAGCGGTGGGCCAGGGCCAGCTGTTGAGTAGGTGTCCGACTGTCCATCCCTCGGTTGCCAAGTGTTGGATTGTCGAACATGGGACTGGATTAGTTTGGGCCGGATTGAGACGAGCTTAGTCTGGTTCAGTGTATGCGAGTACGCCGTATGAAAACTTAGGATAAGTGCAATCATTTGTTATAATATTATTCCTTTCATATACTCACTTTAAAGGCGCGTCCATCCACTTACATATACACACACACACACATATATATATATATATTTTTTTTAACTAAAGTAACTTAGTTCAAATAAAAAATCCTCGAGTATCTTCGATTCCAATACAATCGAAATAAAAGGCGTTAAAGATTAGTAATAATGTGATTTAAATTTGTATTTGATAATAATCAAACGTAAGACTTCTCGTTTATAAATAAATAAGAATATAACTAAACTGTTATTTGAAGTAACCACCAATTATATAGTCATCGAAATCTATTAAATCATCATCTTTATTATTATATATCCATCGTTATCTTGTAATTAATAATATCATTTTAGAACTAACAAGATACGAGATACGAAAGTCACACCGACAAAATTCTCCACAAGAGGCAAGTGTGTTGGTGTTATGCGAGGATGGTCAATTTGATTTGATTTAAAAGGATTGCTAAGGTGGCAATCAATCATTGTGAATCTTTTTACATAAAAAATTGTAAATGTATTCTCATTACATTTTTAACTCAAGGAATTGGGGGAGATCGCATTTTGAATATTGTCTAGAAGGAACTTGGCTAAATATATACTTGATTGTGTGGTTCCTACTTTTTCAAGCATAAATTAGCCAATGGAAAAGTACAAATAATTGTGCAAATATACATCTAAGAAATTTTTTACCGTCAGACTTTATCATATTTGATATCAACTGTTAGATGTAATGTATTTAAAATTTTAAAGTTGTCAAAATTTTAGGTTTTAACCAAAAAATTATTTTAGACCCAATTATTGAAGAATGATTGAGTCAATTTAAAATGTAAATTTTAGTGCCACTATGATTTAATGGTATTCCTCTTCATTTGTAAGTGAGATGTCTTAAGTTTTGATTCTCGCCAAAGGCGAATTTGAACCATATTATTGCTAGTCCATTATAAGACTTAGTTTACTGACACACTTCGACCAAAATCATGACGTGCTGGCTGTCACGTTTGTAAGGATTTTGAGTCTCGTTCGTACAAGTAAGAAGGAAAGAGAGATAGAGGGAGTTCGAGACAAAGAGAGATACACGGGGAAGGAGATGATGTGGATGTGGGTGAGTGTGTGGTCCAGATGCAACCAACAAAACCACAAAACAATCACCCCAAAATGACAAATACCCACCAAGGGCAAAATCGTCATTTCACACCTACGGTACGAATAATTCAGGACGGGCTGTCACAACCTACCCCCTTAAGAAAATTTTGTCCCGAAATTCATAACAACAACTCAAACAAACCACTAGTAATCGAAGAACAACCGAGGATACAAATCTCCATAAAGATAATGTCTCCACATCTTCAAAGCAGAGATAATGGCCGCTAACTCCAAAATCAAGGTGTGCTAGCTGTCACATTTGTAAGGGTTTTGAGTCTCATCCGTACAAGTGAGAAGGAAAGAGAGAGAGAGAGAGAGAGGGAGTTCAAGATAGAGAAAGATACACGGGGGAAGGAGATGATAAATGTAGGATCACCTTTGGGTGTTGTGTAATTAGTATTCGTTCTTCTGGACTGCTCTTAGGCTTTCTGTGCTTTGATACCAAACTAACACATCCCGACCAAAATCAAGGCGTGACGCCCAACAAGCCTTGATTTCGGTCGGGGTGTGTCAGTTTGAAAAGTTGTGACAGCCTGTCCCGAATTATTCGTACCGTAGCTATGAAATGACGATTTTGCCCTTGGTGGGTATTTGTCATTTTGGGGTGATTGTTTTGTGGTTTTGTTGGTTGCATCTAGACCACACACTCATCCACATCCACATCATCTCCTTCCCCCGTGTATCTCTTTTTGTCTCGAACTCTCTCTCTCTCTCTTTCCTTCTCACTTGTACGGACAGGACTCAAAACCCTTACAAATGTGATGCCCAGCACACCTTGATTTTGGTCGAGGTATGTCAGTTGACAAATACCCACCAAGGGCAAAATCGTCATTTCACACCTACGGTATGAATAATTCGGGATGGGCTGTCACATTTACTCTCTAACCTCATTTTATAGATACATCATTTGTTCCCAAAAAAAAAAAAAAAAAACCTAAATTTTGGTGGACCAGCCATTTTACTTTAAAGTTGCCTAAATTTTAAAAATTTAGATGTAATGTATTTAAAAATTTAAAGTTGCCCAAATTTTAGGTTTTAACTAAAAAATATATCTTAGTCTCAACTATTGAATAATGATTGAGTTAGTTTAAAACCTAAATTTAGGGTTTAATTTGGTCTAAATTCAGGGTTAAATTTGCCCAAATTTTAGTTTTTAACCCAAAACTTATTTTAGGCTCATCTATTGGAGAAAGATTGAGTTAGTTTAAATTATAAATTTTAAGTTTAATCCAAGGGTTGGAGATGGTATTCGTCATCGTCGTGTGATTCAGGAGTGTTATAAAGCAAACACAAAACGTGCTATGTGGAATATATTATGATTCAAATGTGTCAAGAATCAAACTCAAAACATACTACATAAAATACGGGTTTAAAATTTGTTTCTAACCACAAAGCCACTTGTGACGGTTCATATTATGTGTAAGATAATTTGACATTGTAGTGCTAAATTATTGGTATGAGACAAAGATAGGTTGATGCCAATTAACAAAAAGTCAAATTATATATATATATATATATATATATTTTTTTTTTTGTGCTTCAAAAAAAAATATTTATAATTTATAATTTGTTTTAGTAATGACCTAGGGGGAATAGGTGCCTCTTCGGATTTTCTTTGTAGAGATTTAGAAGATCAATCAATCGTATCCGTTTATCGTACATGTTATAGTTATAAATTATTTTAAAATTTTAATTTAAAAATAAATATAAATAATATCTAACGAAAAATGATTTTATAATATATGATAAACGAACACGATTGATTCATCCTTGAATCCTACAAAGAGGATCTTGAGGATCCATGTCCGCCCTAAGGACTAATCACTATATAATTACTTTAGTGGGGTTTTAAATTTGTGAAGCCGAAAATAATAATTAATTAAAAAATCTGCACACTCACAGAGGAAAGAAAAAAGAAAGAGCGAAAGGAAAGGTTTTCGGTGCCGAGAGAGAGAGAGAGAGAGAGAGAGGAGAGAGATTTTGGATTTTTATCTTCATCTTCTTCCTCCTTGCGTTCTGTTTGGCAGCAGCGGCGGAAACTCAGAGAGAGGGAGACGAACAGCTGTAAATCCAATACGTCGCCGTATCGGCAGTCTCAGATCTAGTAAGGGTTTTCTCACAGAAGAGGAGAGAGAGAGAATGAGCGGGAGAGGCGGCGGAGGCGTGGCCAGCAATGGCAAGGGCAATACTGGGATTTCCGGCATACCGGCGGGGTCTCGGAAGATGGTGCAGAGCTTGAAGGAGATTGTGAATAACTGCACTGAGCAAGAGATCTACGCTATGCTTAAAGACTGTAACATGGACCCTAACGAGGCCGTCAATCGCCTCCTGGCCCAAGGTCCACCCCCTATCCCTCTCTCTCTCTCTCTCCTCACTTTCTCTCTCTAAAATCTTCTCTCTTTTGAAATTTATTTGTCAAATTTTTATTTTGAATTTGAAGTTTCGGGTTTTTTTCTATTTTAGGGCAAATCAAAAAGTTAGTATTGGACTGAGGCATAGCTGTAGTATTGGTGACAGTCCAGTAGATTTTCTGGATTATAAAAGGAATAATATTTATTGGGTTGAAGGAAATTGTTCATTTGATTTATCAAGTTTTGTGCTTTCCCTACTATTTGGTCTTTCAATTTTCGAAAAATATATATGTCATGCTTTGCTGGGCTGTTTCCCCCTTTTGGGTTTTTGTTTATTTAGTTATTTTCTGGGTTCCCATCTTTCTCACTTGCACTCGTTCACTCATCTTGTTTGAAAAATCATGCTTTGGAAGAAATGAAATCAATGAGTTTTTTAAGAGTTTTGTTGTTTAAAACATCAATTATGTCCTTGAAGCATGCTTCTTGTGATTCTTGCTCGGCAAAATCGTGGTTGAAAGTTGAAATATGATCTCTTTTCTGTATTTTTGGTTTCGTAGGTTGAGTATGTGGAGGTCTTAGTGCTTATATGAACGTGATTTGGTGTGTGTGTGTGTGTATGTTTTTTGTTGAAACTGCTTCTGATGTAAAACTTATAACTTGTGTAGATCCTTTTCATGAAGTGAAGAGCAAACGAGAAAAGAAAAAAGAGGTCCGTGCGTGTCATTTGCCTAATTTCAAGTTCATGTTCTGTCATTTACCTCCCATCCTTGCTCTCTTCATGGTTTATGTACTGAGAAGATTTTATGTTATCCTATCCTTTCTAACGTAACACACACGCACACACACTCATATTTTTCTTCAGAGTAAGGAGCCGACAGATTCCAGGTCCCGTGGGGCAAGTAACACTTCAAGTTATGGTGCTAGAGGTGGTGACCGTTATTCTGCACGTGGCGGATCAAACCACTTTAGCTCTAATGGTATGTGGCAGACCGATGCAATTAAAGTTGGATAATACTGTTTACACAGTTCGAAAATTTCTACAGAATGTTGATAAACTTAGTCTCACCTATGCGTTTCTTTGCCCCCTCAGATTCTGGTTTTTCGCATGGTAAGTCTGCATACAAGAAGGAAAATGGGACACATGCTTATCCAGGTTCTGCGCCTGGCATGGCAGGACATCACACAGGTCGACGACCTACATCCTACAGGTTGTAACTATAAAACCTCAAATTGATAGTTCTTTCTCTGATTTAGAAGCATAAAATGCAACTAAATAATATAATTATTAATTTTGAGAAAGTTGCTAACCCTCATCTGTTTGTTCATGTTCTTTGGTTCTCTTTTTTAAACTTGTATTTGAATTTTTCAAAGAAAGCCTTTATCTGTTGAGTGTCTCGTCGCACTTAAACTTTCACTGTTACAGGTCACTTCATTTCTAACAACTTTCTGTTCAATATATTAATGCTCTTCTGGACATACTTCAATTGTAAAAGAAGTAAATAATGCAATTAGGCCTTTTTTATGTCTCGAGTCTTGACGTGAAAATTGCAGAGGAAGTTCCCTCATCTTCATATGTTTGTGAAAACATGCTCTACATTAATCGTACATGGTTTGTTTGCATGTCTGTTTGTCTCTAGCAGTTTTTCTCTAGCTGATCATTTTTTTATTACTTCCATAGCCCTTGGGGTGGTATAGATTGCTATTCATGTTGCTATTCATGTTAAAAACATGGGGATGATGCATATTCGATGTGTTGCTCATCTGTTTGTAAATCTGTTGCAGCGATTCTGTGGGGAGTGAAAACAAAGTGCCAACATTGAGCACAGATGATGGAATATCGTCATTCTCACAGCCTTCTTCAGGATATCAGTCTGCATGGGGAGGGGTTCCAGGTCAAGTATCCATGGCCGACATTGTTAAGATGGGCAGGCCGCAAGCCAAGGCTACCACCTTGCCAAACCCCCATAATCATAGTGGTAATCATCATGATGGGGCACCTCCTGCAGCATCATTGCATTACAATTTGCATTCACCGCAAGATCATGTTCCGAAGTTGTCAGCGACCAATGATGAGTGGCCCTTGATTGATCCACCATCTGTTAGCATGTCCTCTGTTCTTGGGGCACCCACAAACTCTGAGCTGTATGCTGATTCATCTAACTTGCCCATCGATAGAGTTAATCAACATATAAGATCCCAGATAGATGAGGTTGAGGTGGAAGAAGATGATTCTGTTGAGGCACTTCCAAGCCATAATGAGCCTACTTCTGTATCTGGTAGACATTTACAAGAAGATAATTCCGGAGGTGCATCTAATTTTGATAATAACTTGTATGAAGACATAAATTCCTACCAACCACAGAGGCATGCTTTCGAGGAGAATGAAGGTAACAAGATAGGTTTTTTTTTTTTTTTTTTTTTTTTACTTGGGGTTGTCCTGCGACGTCTTTTTCCGCTGTTCTTTCTGACCTATATTTTTCTCAAAGTTCCACTATATATTTCAATACGAACATGGCATAAAGATATGGAAATATTGTGATGAAGGTTTATGTTACTCTGCGAAGAGTATTTTAAGGGGGGTTATTTGTAACTGAAAACTCAGTTGCAACATGTGCTTTGAAGTTAGTATCTTGAATCGGGGAAGAAAAGCTTAATACTCTAATTTGGTGGATTTTGACCTGAACAGTTTTTTGCTTTTCCATAAATTCTAACTAATTTTTTCTCTGGATAGTGAGGTTGCTAATTTAAACTTTAATAAATTCCAGAATGCTGAATGCCGTTTTTAAGAAATTGTCTTCCCTTTTTTTCCCCAGCTGAAGAAGATGTGTCATCAGTGGCTGCAAACTTGCAGCAACTTAATTTACAAAACGATGATAGGGGAGCAGCTCCTGAAGAAGAAAAACCTCCTGTGGTCATTCCTAATCACCTTCAGCTTCATACTCCAGATGTCTTGAACTTGAGCTTTGGAAGTTTCCGATCTGGCCCAGATCCTGCTCTTCCTAGCTCCGATTCATTTGCTTCGGAGCCACAGGAAAGCAACTTTGAAGAGACATCTGGGGCCGTAGATGTTTCTGCAATTGCACACTCAGATGCAAGGTATGACCTGGTGATAATAATTCCCTTGATTTTATTGTTGGTTGTTTAGCACCATCTTAAGAATTTTTTTTTTTTTCCTGCAGAAATCCTGAGTATTATGGAGATGAGCATCTCATGAATGCCTCGGACGAAAATCTAGTTCATAGAACTGTAGCCAGTGCTGGAGATTATGAATCTCCTTCAGTTTCACAAGCGGAGATCTTGAAACAAGAAACCCATGAACCTGATCAGGGGAATCAATATGTGTTCTCTTCTGCACCTGGATTTGCATATGAGAACTCCCAACAATTGGATGCGGCATTTTCTCACCAACAGACAAGCTCGCAGATGCAGAATATGGCTCCTTTTTCGAATGTGATGGTAAGGCAGTGAACTATTTTATTTTATTTTATTTGTTGTGTTAATTGTTTTGAGGTAATATTGCAATCTCCACATAATAATTGATTCTGGTTTGAGCAATATATTGCCAGTTGGTTGGGATGGCAACATCATTGGACCTGGAGATCTTACATGTTTAGAGCCTTTAGATCGAGCGTTGGAGTCTTTAGATTCACATCATTATATACATCACATGTAATGCTAGTGCTGGATGTATTGTATGTTTTTTTTTTTTTTTTAATTACCAAGTGTTGCGAGTGTGTTTTGTCTGTATGTTCACATTGTTATATACATTACATAAGCATTGGAAAATTAAAACTGGGAAGATAAAAGGGGCATGAGATGAAGCTTAACCTTTAGTATCATCATACTTTAGATCATTCGGTTCTGTTGGTATGTTTGTTACCGTTAGTTGATTCTCGTTTCTCATATTTTCTTTAAAGCAGGCATATACAAATTCATTGCCCAGCACTCTGTTAGCTTCAAGTGCTCAAGCTGCAAGGGAGGATTTTCCATACTCACCATTCCCCATGACCCAATCTATGCCCACAAAGTATGGCAGTGCGGCTTCTTCTATCAGCGGTCCCACCATCTCCATGGCAGAGGTTTCTTCCTTTATATTGTGTATTAAGCCTATCAATTATTCTTTTAGTTGATAGTTTGACTGGCATAAAAATACTAGAACAGTTTTACAACTTACATTGTGGATGTACGTTTCTTATGCTTGGAAAGAAAAAGAATTACATGCAGATGTAAACACATTCTTGTTGACCGAGATTCATGCTTAAATCCAAGAAACTTAATGTAACATGGTCAAACTAGTTTAAGTTGGCTGAAATTTTGCATTGTATTCATTATGTTATATAGAGGCCATGGATTATTTGTGAAATTGGTTGTCTTGTGCTAACTCATCATCATTCTGCTAAAGTTATATCCCTAGTTTCTTAAGGGAAATATTCACTACTCATCCGTTCTAATTACATATTCTTGTCAGCCTGCACATTTTCTTTGGTTAGTTGCCTCTGTTTTCTGTATTTCGTGTGTATGTTCCATTGCTGTGGAAATCTTCTTGAAATTGTTTGTTATGTACGAAAAGTCCATATAACGAAATTGTTCTTGTTCGAGGTTTTTTTGGTCAACTTATTTCTCTATTGCTCTGATCAAATCCGGACATATTAGAGATCTCAAATTTTCTTCCAATTGTTTTATTGTGGATACACAGGCATTGAGAGCGGGTGGTATTTCTGCACCTCAGCCTACTCCACAGGGCCTGCCTGGTGCTAATGTTGCTACTGGACCAGCTCTTCCACAACACCTTGCTGTGCACCCTTATTCTCAACCTACTCTTCCGCTAGGGCATTTTTCAAACATGATCGGTTATCCTTTCCTGCCTCAGAGCTACACATATATGCCGTCAGCTTTCCAGCAGCAATTTGCTGGTAACAGCACATATCATCAGTCTCTGGCTGCAGTTCTCCCACAGTATAAAAATAGCGTCTCTGTTAGCAGTTTGCCTCAGTCTGCTAATATTCCGCCAGGTTATGGGTTCAGCAGTTCAACCAGCATTCCTGGTGGAAACTTTCCTTTGAATCCACCCTCAGCACCTACAGGCACTACGATGGGCTATGACGATGTTGTAAACCCTCAGTACAAGGACAATAGCCATTTGATCTCACTTCAGCAGGTAATTTGTTATCTTGGTTAAAAACTCATGAAAGTGCTTATCCTTTCGTTCGTTTAACAGTATATTCTCAAAGCAAACAACTACTATTCTGCAATCAGTAAAACTCATTCTTCTTGTTCTTTTTTCTTTGTCAGCAGCAAAATGATAACTCGGGCATGTGGGTTCATGGACCTGGTTCCCGAGCAATGTCCGCTGTTCCAGCCAGCAACTATTACAGCTTTCAGGGGCAGAATCAACAGCACGCAGGGTTCCGGCAAGCTCAGCAACCACCGCCTTCACAGCAGTATGCTGGAACTCTCGGTTACCCTAACTTTTATCACTCTCAAACCGGGATGTCCCTAGAACACCAGCAGCAGCAAAGTTCGAGGGACGCATCCCTGGGCGGCTCACAAGGTGGCCAACCCTCGAAGCAGTCGCAACAGCAGCTATGGCAGAACAGCTACTAATTCCCAGTCATCTCCTCCCTCTCCTCAAGGTTTTTTTGGGGTCACGTAGTGAGTTTGAAAGTGGCCGATCAGAGGCGTTTACTGCGGTCGGAATAATCGTCATCATGTATCATTATTTGGTCATAAGAGGAAGAGAGCTTGGCTTGGCTGCTGCCCTGTCCCTGTCCCCGTGCCTGTGCCTGTGCCACGAGAGAGATTGTATTTCTAGATATTGTTTTCTTGCTCACCATGTTTAACCTGTTACCTTAGGTAAAAACAAGTGTGCTAATTTGGATTAGTGGATATTTTACTACGATCCTTTTCGTTTCTTTTCTCTCCTGTTTGCTTGTTCAGTTGTGTTTTTTGTTTTCCCGTAGTCTCCTCCGAATGAAATTTGTGCATTTCCTAGCTAAATACAAATTAGAGAGTAAATCACAATGCATAGAAAACGCTTGCAGGTTTATTAACTAGCTCTTAATCTAGTAATATTATATTTGATCAAACGGGAGAAGAATTTTTTATGCTCAACTAGTTAATCAGGTGAACTGTCGAACTCATCGACTATCGAGACAAGTTCCTGATCTAATAAAATTTTTTTTGGTCAAACGGTAGAATAATTTATGTTCGACAGTTGAATCAGACGGACTGTCGAACTCACTGACTAAAGAGCGAGGCCTGTCTGACCTACATATAGAGCTTGTTTCCTAAGAAGTGGGACAGAATTGTCGGACAATCCACTTATTGTCTTTCTAAAAAGGAATTCAAACTCAAATGAATTGAGGAGCTTCCTACAACTTAAAAGTTCCAAGCTTTAAACATTTCTCAGAAAAAGAATGGAAATTAAATTGAACTTCACCCTGCCACCTTCATTTTGTGGTAAGTAACCAAGAACATTTCCAACCGATCCGGTCAAAAGATTATATAGCTAAAAATAGCTTGGAATGACACGAAAATCGTCTCCAACTAAAGGCTAGGTCAAAGAGCTTGTGGACCCCACCGGGCTCAAATCAAGCCAGCGGGCTGGCTATTTCCAACCAGCCATCCAACACTAGAATGTCAAGCTTAACATTTTGCCAGCCATCTAGCTCTAGAATGTTAAGCTTGACATTTTGCCAGCACTCTAGCTCAGCCCATTTGAATGCCAACGCCTACCTAGCATCATCATGACACCAGTTAGCAACGGCTAGCTAACGTCAGGTTAGTGTTGGAATTTGAATTTTTTTTTGGGATGAATTTTAAATTTTTTTCCTATAAATACCTACACCATTCATACAACATTGAAAGCTGAAAATAAGAAGTGTCACGTGGATAAGAATCCTATCTAAAATTTTCACAACCCATTACATCTCGACATGTGGCACTCGAAATCCTATCAGAAAAATTATTAAGATTACATAAATATAAGAAATCTGAAAAGTTACTCACGTTAGCGACATGTCACTTGAAGTCCTATCCAAAAAATTATTGAGAATATATAAAAATAAGAAATCTGGAGGCTTATTCATTGGCGATAAGTGACACTCAAAATATGTCTGAAAATCTTATTTTAATATGATAGTTTAATTTAACCGTATTAATTTAATTAAAATAATAAATTATGTTAAGTCTATGACTATTTGTCCCCCTCAGTTGGAGATGATTTTTTGTCAAAGAGTTATGTTTCGCCTATGGATCTTTGGTCTCCTCTGTAGGAGATGGTATAAAATATGGCCCAATACTGTTTATTAAAATATAATTTTTTATAGCACCATAAGGCTAAGGAGAACCTTTTGACCCTCTTTGATTGAATATGGCCTAAGCTTCTCCCTCTCTTGTTTTATTGTCGCACAAGCACTTCTCTTTTCTTCATTACGTACCTTTCTTCTAACTTTTCACATGGTTTTGCTTTTCATGGTTGTTCTCTTGTTTCTTTAGGTAAACTTTAGCATTTGTTATTTGCTTGTTGGTTGGTTCTTCTGTTTTAATTTGCTTTTCATGGTTCTTCTACTTCTCTCTCCCTCCTACTCTCTTTTCTCTTCTTTTTCTCCTTTTTTTTTTTCCTCGACTTTTTCCCTTTTCTTCCTCTGCTTTTCTTTTCTAGAGGCTTCTGGTAAGCGTCTCTTATTTTCTTTTCTTTTTCTCTTCCTTTTCGAATTCGGGAACCGGCCACAACCCGATGAACCCCAACCGGCACCTGCCAATCCATGAAGGAAGGAAGGTGCAGAAGATTTGTGGAACAAAAATGACGGGCCGATTGTTGAACCGCCTCCGTCGGTTCGACTGTACGGATGGACGGACGAGATAGATTGCGGTGCCGCCGCTGGACTTGAGGAAAATGATATCAAAAGGTCGTGATTTGGCAGCTGGATTCGAACTCAAACCTCGGGGTACAAGCTGAGCTGTGCACGAAACACACCCACGTGTGTCAAACCCTAACAAATGCAGCCGTTGGCCTCTCTCTGTGGAAGCTGCTTCACTCAAGCCTCTCTCGCTTTTGGTCATTTCCACCTGCAATCCAAAACCAAAACAACCCACACCTCCATGTCTGCAAGTCTCGCCCTCTCGCTTCGAATTTCAAAGAGCCACGCCTCCATTTCATCTAAGCCCAAATCCCTCGGAATCAAACATGGAAAGGTAAAAAGTGTTTCACTTTCCTCCAATCTCATCTCCATTATTAGCTCAAGGGAAAATAAATGCGAACTATCTCATGCGCATTCCTGAGTTGCATATGGAGGCCAATATAATGCTGATGGTTGTTTTCTGTATGTGATTATTCGTGGCTTTACCCTTGTATGTGGACCATTAAACCTTTTACTTTCGGTCTCGATATTGATAATGGTTGGTTCTCACTTGTTCTGGAGTATCAAATGTCTATTTTTTGAGGGAAAGCAGTCGGTTGTAGCTTGTTTTCACTCTGGCCACTTTTTTACTGCCTGGCAACATAAATTGGAAACCTTTATTTTCGTTAGATTCCATTAGAAAATATGCCCGCGCTTTGCTGTGGGCGTCGAATTTAACATGCATGAATAGTTTCCACACAAAGCAACGAAAAAGACTTTGTAGCAACCTCAGAATCAATGAACAATTGGAATATCCGCACGAAATCTCTCTCTCGGTTTCTCTCACTGTCACCCTCCCACTCCTGAATCGGAGATCCGCACGAAATCTCTCTATCGCTCTCTCCCTCTGCAGGTGGCGTGGCCACTCTGTCTGCCCTCACCATCAATCCCAATCCCAAAATTAAGATGACAAAAGTGGCCTGCAACTCTTTAATTCTAGCCGCGTGATCCTAACCCTAGATGAATATTTTCGTCATTTGAACACCCAAAGGGCCGGCCTCATTAACAACTGAGGTAAGCCCAGCAAACACAGCCCAAAACGAACTAACCCAGCAGCAAAAGCAGTGGTAGAAGAACTCAGTGGCATGGTCGTAAATAAAATGAAATTTGGTCCCAAACACTGTTCATTTAAACAGTGCAATTGAAAACCCTTATTTAGACTAAAGTAACATTATTATAGGAAAACTAATTAAAAGGGTTTAACGTTAAAAAAAAAAATAAAAAGTAAAATAAATAATATCAGGATTGACTTTTTAATGTAAATTTTTCGTTAAAATAAATATTACCAGGAGTTGTTCGTTAAAATTTCCTATTATTATTCATCGTCTCCTCAAAGTTAATGCAGGATAGAAGCCTTCGAGTGACGCATAACTTGACTATCTTCGGCGGCTGCGGCCTTGTCCTTTCCACCATCATCGGCCTATTTGGAGTCAATGTCGATGGAATCCCCGGGACAAAGAACGCACCCTATGCTTTCGGTTTGTTTTCAGCCCTCCTCGTCGTTCCATGAGTCGTCCTGACTGCACTCGGGTTGCTCTACTTTGGGGTGAAAAAGCCTGTCACAGAACAGCAAGTTCGAGACAGAAAGTTGGAGCTTCAAAAGTTAGTTAAGGAGTTTCAGCTCGAGAGAAACACTGCCGGGGTTCGTAACAAAGTGTCTCGGAGTAATTTACCCCCGACGGCTGGTGATGTAGTCGACCCGCAAGACTTCGTTAACCTTCGTATACGATCCTACCGGTTTTTCAATTGTTGTGCTACGGGTCGGCCCTAAGGGCCTCCTAATATCGTGTAAATTAAAGAACATGTAAGTTGATAATTGATTTATTACTTAAGAATTAATAAACATGCTTATTCTTATTGATGACATATTATTTATTTATTAATTTTATCTTCTTAACACTACCCATATATGTTAACATTAAAACTTTGTGTCGGTTCAAATAGCAAGTTTACAAAGTTTGAGTTTTTGAGTCTTTGTTTATAGAAATTTGTTGTAATACCAATTACAATTGCCTATGTGAAAAGAAGTTTTTCAAAATTAAAATTCAAATCTTATTTTTGATCAACTATGTTATAAGAAAAACTGAATGAGCTAATTATTTTATCAATTGATAAAGGATTGGTTAAAAAATTAGATTATGTAAACTTAATTAGTACATTTGTGTCTAAATATTTAAGTAATGTTTGTATATATATATATTTTTTTTATATTAATTTTTAATGATAGTTGATCTAAAAATAAATTTTTTCATATATCTAACAAATTTTTTATTATACATACAATGTATAAAGGGTCAGACGTCAAAGAATCTATGACCTCACTTCGAAGGCTCACCTAGGATTCCAAATTTTCAAAACCAGCTCTTTTGAAAATCGAAAAGACTTATAATGTCATTTTAGTCGTGTGATACCAAAAATAGAATCAAGACGTGCCGTAACAGATTTATCCCATTAGGCTTGGAGGGTGTTTTGTGGGTGGCGGTGTATTAGAACAATTATGGCGGTGTAAATGCACACCACCTACAAGAAAACAACGTTCGTAGCCTTTCCACGTCCTTCCCTTTTTCGCATAGTTAAAGTTTTTCAACATTTTCTCCTGCAGAAATCAAACAAAGGCATTGCCTTTTTGGATTTGAGCAACACTGTTACCTTCTTTCCTGGGTAAGCTCCTCCTCTCATCTCATTTCCTCATAATAATTAACAGAGATAGAAATCATCTTTTATTCACTCAAAAACCCATAATTGACCATTTAAATTCATCATTTTTTTTGCCCTCTAATTTTTCAGGGACAATTTTCTCTCTCTCCCACTTGATTTTTGTTTCTTGGGTATTTCTTATATTTGTTTTCTGGGTCTGTTTGCTTGTGTGGGTAGATTTTATTTGTTTGCTTGCAAGTTCTTCTGTTTCCTTGTTTAGCTTGGACTTGGAGCCTTGCAGGTTGCAATGTCTGTAAGTTTTTGATACTCAGAGATGGAAAGTTTGAATCTTTATCAGTTATGCTGTCCCAAATTATGAATGCAAACTGCAGACTGCAATCCATGGACTGAAATTATAATTCATTATTTAATTGTAGTCAGGTTTTGATAATCTTTCCAAACATTGCAGTATTTAGCTGTGATCAAGAATTGCAACTGAACATTGTGATTGTCCATTCTCCTTGGGCTTCTGAGAATATTAGCTGATTGCTATGTGCACTGATGGAACAGAGAAAGAGTAGGGTGGGGGAGAACGGTTCTTCTTCCCATTGCAATAACACGAAGAAACTGGATAACCATAGAAATAGTCCTAGTAGAGATCCAATGCCTGGGAGTGATCTTTGGAAAGATGGGCTTATTTGTGCTTTTGAGTTTATTCGGAGCCGGAAGAAACCAAACAGTTCAAAACCTGGTCCAAGGATCCCGATCAAACAACAAGCAGATGGTGAGCAAGAAAGGGTGTGCGTTCCTTCTTACGGATTTTCTGATTCTCCATCCCAAATGGAAGATAGAAGCCAGCAATCAGGCCAAGTTCAGGATATCGAAAGATTTGAGGGTGGTCATTGGGTTCCAATTGGGTGGGTTAGGATTTCGGAAATTGTACAAACTGTGCAAGCAAATGCTAGTTGGCCCTCGCAGCAGGTTGGGATGGATGGTGAAGATGACTTGACTGTTGCAGATTTAGCAGCTCCGTATTGGGAGCGTCCGGCAGGGCCCATTTGGTGGTGCCATGTCTCTGCAGGCCACCCCACGGTTGAAGCATGGCTCAGGAATGCCCAGTGGCTTCACCCTGCAGTTGGCTTAGCTTTAAGAGATGAAAGTCGACTTATCAGTGACCGGATGAAGCACCTGCTATACGAGGTAAATTGCGTTTGTTATATCTGAAATTGCTAAATAATTAGTAGTATTGGTTTGTAAGCCTGTTGCAGTAATTCGCAGGATTGTAACAAAGTGACTGGCTTTCAGCTCAAACTTTTTCGGAATCTGGTTTTGTTGAAGAGTTGATTTTGAACATGCTTTGATGCCTCTATCCAGGTCCCAGTTAGGGTTGCTGGGGGGTTGCTATTTGAGCTTTTGGGTCAGTCTGCTGGGAATCCATTTATTGATGAGGATGATGTCCCCATTGTACTTCGATCGTGGCAAGCGCAAAACTTCCTTGTAACGGTTTTGCATATTAAAGGCTCGGTGTCAAGTATAAATGTGTTGGGTATCACAGAAGTTCAGGTTGTTCATCCTTGATTGATCCTTTCAGTGGCTTTGATCTTCTTACTGTGTTACGTTGTTTGTGCATTGAACTTAAAAATTGGTGGTTTAATCCTTTGATATGGTTAGGAACTTCTTTCAACTGGAGGCTATAATGCACCAAGAACAGTGCATGAAGTCATAGCACATCTAGCTTGCCGCCTTTCTCGATGGGATGACAGGTAACTTTAACACTATCGTTCTGATTTAGCAAATACGGTCGTTCTAATTTAGCAACATTACAGCAGCCTACCTACTGTGGAAATGGCACATCAATTATTGGTGTTGGCTCATGCATGTACCACAACTAATTCTCTTCCGTTGTCCATAATGTTATGTATGCATTGTTACATGTTTGTCATTTTTTATTCTCTTAACTTGTGGTTGCCTTAAATGTCTCCGCTGTTTCAGGTTATTCCGTAAGTCCATATTTGGAGCAGCAGATGAGGTTGAATTAAAATTTATGGACAGGTTCTTCCATATGCATACAACCGTTCCTCGTAAAGTAACATTACGTCGTTAATTACTATTTAGTTTGTACTTCACTTATGACTTTACCTTCTTTTTTTAATAGGAGAAACCATGAGGATATGAATCTTTTCACTGTAATCCTCAACCAAGAAATCAGAAAGCTATCGACACAGGTATGCTGTATCTCCTTGCTAGCAAATTCCAGTTGATGTGAAAATCGCTCGATTATATATTTGTGTTTATTCTTGTTGAAAGGATTTAGCAAAGATGAACAGCCTGAACTTCTAGTAAGACAATGGATTCTATGAGCCGTTGGATCTCACTCCTAGTAAGACAATGGCTTCTATTAGCCGTTGGGGTGCGGCTGTGTGAGTGACTGAGTGATATACTAATGTACAGATCTTGCACATCGAAATGGAAGCAAGAAACTGAGTCAATCGGAAAGGAATATATTTTCTTAAGATGTTACTGAATCTACCCTACTCCCATATGCATACGTAATATATAACCCGTAGCCACCATATGCATGTGGTATCGTATTCCTTATGGCCTTCAATACCCCTTCCCTGTTGAAGTGGAAAAATCGAGTCCAGCTAACATTTAGGTTTAGCATCGAGGCAGTCAGTAGAAACATTTTGTTTGACTGTCCTTTGAGGTTACCCTGCCATTCAAATTAATAGATTTTGTTAGCAAACTCTCCATTGCAGGTTATCAGAGTGAAGTGGTCACTTCATGCACGAGAAGAGATCGTATTCGAGCTTCTCCAACATTTGAGAGGAAATGCCGCAAGAACCTTGTTAGAGCAAATAAGAAAGAGTACAAGAGAAATGATTGAGGAACAAGAAGCAGTTCGCGGCCGCTTATTTACCATTCAGGACGTGATGCAGAGCACTGTTCGTGCATGGTTACAGGTCTGTACACATTCTTAGGTTTTAACTGTAAAACTTTTCATTGTTCGGATTTTTTACTGTAAAATTATCGTCCTGAATGTTAAACCAGGATCGAAGCCTTCGAGTGACGCACAACCTGACTGTTTTTGGTGGCTGCGGCCTTGTGCTCTCGGTCATCACTGGGCTATTTGGAATTAATGTTGATGGAATGCCGGGTGCAGATAACGCTCCATATGCCTTTGGTGTATTTTCAGCCATTCTCATCTTTATAGGAACTGTACTGATTGCGGTCGGGCTGCTCTACCTTGGGTTGAAAAAACCGGTCACTGGAGAGCAAGTTGAAGTTAGAAAGTTGGAGCTTCAAGAGTTGGTTAAGATGTTTCAGCACGAGGCAGAGAATCATGAAGTGGTTCGTAAAAATGTGTCTCGCAACAGTCTACCGCCAACAGCCGGCGATGCTTTCCTACGTGATGCAGATTATGTCATGATTCAGTGAGTATGATACAATTGTTGGTGTAGCGTTTATACACCAACAGTCAGATTTCGCGGAAACAGAAACGAAGAGAATACGAAGAGTATGGTTCCTGGTGATGCCTTCACGAAATATAGATGTATAACGGATATATTGTAGTTCTGGAAAGTGTTATTGACAAAGTTTATAGCTCAATCACGATCGTTGTGAGTTCATGTGGCATTCAATTCATAAAAAAGATGTAACCGTGTATCCTAAATCGCTAACCTGAATTGTAAACCATTGACATTTCCGATGTCCAAATTAACCAAGTTCTACAAAGATAATCGAATTTGATAACATCGCAGCATTTTTAGCTAATTCGATACTTGAAATCAAGCACACCAATAATGGAATAGAAACATACAAAACTGATGTCCTCTCTCCTTGCTTCTCCTCTTTCAACACATCATTTAAGAAGTGATCTTGCTAGATGTTCGCGGGCGGTCGCTAATGCTTGGCTTATTGTCTGCAAAAAGAGATATGCATACATTAACAACATAAAATTTGGTGGCAGGGAGTATCCAGTTGTTGACACAGTATTTTTACACGTCAAGTTTAACTATCTAGCGAACAGATATACCTGCTCAGACAACGGAGCTCCAGCATCAATGCTATGACTTGCAACCTTACTTGCTATAACATTTGAATCAGTCTCAAGAACAATACTGAACAAAAAATAAACAGTTAGGCTCAGGCTGTGAGATTTGAGGTCTAGAGGGTCACGATTCGTAGAAGATATAAGGTACAACCAATCTAAACAAAAGGTAGCAATATACATTGCTAAAACAATCTTGGTTCTTATATCATTCTAGCTTTTAGTTTAGCTTACCCGCCATCAACAATTTCATCGAGGCATAGTAAAATGAGATCCAAATTCTCAAGTGCTTCCTTCTTGTCCACATTGCCTCTGTACAAAAGAAAGCCCAAATTAATATCAAATTACAACTACTTGAGAGTAAAAATTATCAAGTTTTATGACGGGAACAAAGACCTCAGGAGAATGCCGACTGCATCAAAAAAACCCTGGAGAACTGTGGCTAAAATGAGCTCATTTTCATTTTCACCCCCAGTAACAAAAAAGTGAAGGTCTTGAACAAACTTGTAAACTACAATGGTGCCCTCAAACATTGCTATCTCAGCTGTACAGGAAGACGCAACAAGTTAATATGGACACAGGTCGAATCAAAACAACACAATGCTTCATATGAGGGGATATCAGTTGATAGGGATTCGAATAATTTGATGACATATGACCTGTACAGAAATAAATAAAGCTTAAATTACCTTCTGTCCGTGCATTTGTCTTTTGAGTTTTAGTAAACACAGCTTTCTCAAAGGATTCTTTGGCAGCATTCGTTGGCCAGTCCTCCTCTGAATAATACTTGACAGCCACACGTTTCCCTTCAGAATCAAGGAGGAGGATGTTCTTTATCGAAGGGCATGACTCCTACAATCAACAACCAATAACCGATTTGCAAAACATGAATCATTATAGGATCACTGCACCAACTGATTCTAGCACTGCCATTACAAAAGGGTCCGATATCTCCCTCATCCATGCTTATCGTGTACATCTAACATTGTGATTGCACAATTGTACTTAATATGTTCCACTACAAGTTCACGCAAATGATCTCGCGGGATCATAGTTGGTTATGTTAACTCATTTATAAGCTTATATTGAACATCTTAAAATCTTAAGTGTGATCCGTTTACAATGTCAACTACATTGTTTATAACAACATGAACAAGATCAAACAAACACATAAAACTAGTAGAATCATTTCCCAGGATCACGGCCCACTACGGTAACTCAGTTGCAAGCTCAAATTCAAATGGGACCATGTATGCCATTCATCTGTTAATTTTGAGTCATTTAACAGCATCAAATCAACAAGAACAAACAAACATAAAATCTGAACAATATATTATCTTCCAATTAAACAATGCATTAGCATATATACGTACATACAGATATAACCTTAATTTCAAAAATATGCATTGCATTTATGTTAAAATTGCAGGATCTGCTAGATCCTGTTCTAAGGAACTTGGATCCGACCCCAACTATTCCACTCACAAACAGATCAAGAAGCTGATACCAATGTCTAATCCCTAACCCTAATCCTAGCCCTAAACATTTGCCAAATCAATTGGAATTTCAAGAGAGAGAAAGATGAGGAGTGAGAAAGAAACTGACCATTTTGTTCGGAGGAGAGCGACTCCGGAGTCTCCGACGAAGCAGCAGAAAGCACCGAAATTGTTTGTTTTCGGTACACGTTTGTTCAACTTTATACTTTCCCCAACCCACCACTTAATTTTACGTTATTTCCAAATAAAAACCCCGAAATTAATTTTATTTGATAATAGTTTGAAAAACCGAACCGAACCGTTCAAACCGGTTCCGGTTCCTGTTCCTGTTTCGAATGACCAAAAACCGGCCGAACGGAACCGAACCGTTTTATTAATAATAAATAAATAAATTATATATACACACATGTCATGGTATAATAGGTTGAAAAATAGGTTGAAAAATTGTGTACAGGAGCTGCCACTTCTTGCTTGCTCTCTGAAGTCTGAAAACCTGCAATTTGCTTCATCATTTTTTTGTTTGTTGACTGATTGACCAGTGCATATGTATTTTAGTTGTCTCTTTTTGTTGACTTGGTACCACTAACAAAGACATTTGCATTAAAAAAGATGTGTTGTATGCAACTTTATGTAATCAGTTTTAGAAGATGTATTTGAATGCATAATGATTTGGTGTTCAAATAATTTATTATTAGGAACCGTAAACCGGCAAGAACCGAATCGGAACCGGTGTAGACCGAACCGTGATGTTCTAGTAATAAATTTAAGTGAAACCGCACCGAATCATTTATCCGATTTTTCACTTCAGCCTCTGTTATCTCTCATCTTTTTCTGTCACGTCCTGGTCTTACCGTGAAAGCTTTGCAGGAGTATATTTCGTTTCGATGTACTTTTAAAATGATTAAAAGTTCTTTTAAAAAAAAATTAATTTTTTGTTTGAAAATATTTTTTTTCATTTGAATTTACTTTCATTTTTATTAAAAATTAATTCAAAAAATATTTTCATCAAAAACGCTTTTAATCATTTTACAAACGCATCCAAACTAGCTCTGCCCACCGTTCAAATATCTCCTTTCCTTTCCTTCCGGAGTCCGCAGAAGCATTCATGAGTCGACTGTTGCAGAAGGTATCTATCTCTCTCCTCTCTTTCCTCTCTCTCTCTCTCAGCTTTCCCTTTTGCTGAAATTTTCTCGGGAAAATTTACAGGTACCATTAGCATCTGTGTTTCAAAGCTTCACTGGAACTCATGGACGGTAATTCCCTGCATGCCCTTTTGTTTGATGATAAAAAGAATTGTTATTTTTTTAATCTTCAATTTCATTTTTTTATAATTTCTCGACTTACCCATGTTCGGTTTTTCATCGATCATGTGATTTATTGTGTTGTTTGATGAGAATTCGAGATTTGTAGGTTAAAAGATTGCTGCTTTACCTTCAATTTTCTTGTTTGGAATTTAGAATTCTCGGATTTACTTATAACTTGAACATGCACGCATTCTTGACGTTGGATTGTTCTGTGAAAACAAATTTTGGACTTAAAATACAGTTCCGGTAGCCGAGTGTTTGAGATGGTTCGGAACAATGTCATTGTGGGATTGTCATCCAGTAGAAAATCGATTTCTGGATTTAGAACTTTTTGCACTGGCAAAGGTGCGTCCAGACTTTTCGTCGTTTTTGTAGCTTGATAATCAAATGCAATTTCTCTCGGAACTTCAATTTATGTAACGATTCCTTTCAAGTAATCTTGGAGTGGCCAGCATGCGGTAGAACATCCCGTGACTTTGGTATAATTCTATCGAAGTCATTTAGGCGTCGTTGTTCCATTCGCATCCATTCATGAAATTTTGGACATCAGCTGTATCTGTTTACTTCTCAGGAGTAGAGATATAGCTTGGAAAGACCAATTTTTCTTGTGCGCAAGGCTTAATCCGCATGGCCGAAAACTAAATTATCTACTCACGCCTATAGCCGATTTGTCTGTGATTTATTGCATTGGCCATTCGGAATACTCTTGTCCTGGTTTACAACTTTGAGTTATTGCTTAATTGGTTCAGGACCTTTATGAGTGAAATTTTAAATTTCAAACTATTCCCAGTCCTATTCGGGTTGGGAATGCAAACATTTGTTCAAGTGTCATCTTTGTTTTTTCTGTCTAAAGTGTCATCTCTGTTTTTTCTGTCTATCCTCCATAGTTAGCTTGTATGGTTTCCAGTAAAATATTGAAGCTCGTATTCATTGAAGGGAAGGAACCTGCCTCTCGATTTGCTGGGCTTATCCATGACTGTTATTTTCTTATTTAATATAACTGCCATTGATTATTATTTTTTCTATCGAATTTTCGAAATACTAGTTTTGATAGCTTTGTTTGTAAATGAAGTCTTATTTTTCTTATTTGACGCTGTTTTCTGGCTGCTTTAGATTTGTCAATAAAGAAGTGTGTGTCTTGCGACTCAAAGGATATGCGACCCATGACTGAACAAGCAGCAAATGAATTAATCACAAAGGTTTCTGATTAAATGAATCACCTGCAATATTTATACACACACACACACACACACATGTATGTTTCTCTTGTAAAGCTAATATATTTGGTTCAGGTGGACGGATGGAATTTGGTTCGTGAAGGTGATGCCTTGAGACTGAAACGGTCATGGAAAGTTAAGACCTTCACAAAAGGACTTGAAATGTTTAAGCTCATAGCTGATCTTGCAGAAGCAGAAGGTATTTTTAAGATTGTTTTTGTTTTCTGATGAGTAGCGGTAGCTGTCTGCATGTATGAAGAATGCATTCGAATTTAAATAAGATGGAATGTGTCTGATGTAGATGGAAAACCATAATGTGTAATTGTGTATGTTCTAGGTCATCATCCAGATCTTCATCTAGTTGGATGGAACAATGTAACAGTCGAGATATGGACACATGCGGTTGGTAAGGATTCGCCATTAATTAATTGGTGCTATATATTTATACATGTTTCGTGAATAAGACCAGTATGCATTAGGTAGCCTTGGAGGTCTGAGGTTTTTCTGTCCCCAAGTCTTGATGTATATAATGTTTTGCTTATGAAGTTTTCCTACTACCATTAAAGCTTTAGGAAATAAAAGTATTGTAATTCATGCTTTACCTTGAGGAAAATGGTTTGACGTAGTGTACTTGAAGCTTACTCAATCCAGCTATTTGGCTCAGACTTTTGTTTGTTTTTGGTTCCTGGCGTTCGTGAACCAAATATTTCCTTAAAAAATTGCAGTGTAATTAGATGGAATTGTACCTCACCAAAACTGACCAGCCGAACTCCGAATGTTCCCTATTCTGCACCATTTGCTAATATGTTACAACTAGAGATCGCCTTAATACAACATTGAAAGGTGTTCGATGTACTTGAAGAGCCAGTTCATTTGAAAAGTTCGATGCACATGAGATATAGTTTTTGACGTGATATGCGTTGTGCAGGTGGATTGACCGAGAATGACTTCATACTTGCTGCTAAGATCAATGGAATCAGCATGCAACACCTACTGAGGCGGAAAGCTACCAATTGAACCGTCAAAGCTGTGTGAGAAAATGTTTCCATGGAAAGACATGTTTTCGGGTTTTGTTTGGCATCGTCTTCGGTTTGAAGTGACGCATTGTAGGAGATTACCTGGTTTGATACTGTTTTCTTTTTTCTTTTAGCAAGCGTGCCTGAAGGCAGATACTCGAAGGTACCGTTTTCTTTGTGCTGTGGTGATGCAGATTTCATATTCCAACTTTTTAATTTTGGTTTTATAATTTTGCAAGTTATTATAGCTGTGGGCTGTTTTACCAACTACATGTGTGATGCGTCCAAATCTTGACAGATTAAGATCCACTCGGATCTCTGTGTCAGAAGCTCGCGGACCGAGAGATCCGGACTACTTAATTTCATTCTTACGGCTCTCATTAGCCTATCCAATTGGACTACTTAACAAAAATTCAAACGCTGAAATGGTCAGGATCTCTTTATCTCTTTCTTAAATGGTCCGATATTTTAATTCGCGAGCTCTGGACAAAGAATCCAAAGTGGATCTCATTTTATATCTCGACTGTGACATTTTTCCATCCAACTAGACGAAGACGTGGATGATGACCAGAACCTACCCATTATGGTTTTGCATCTACATCAGACACATTCTATCTTATTTAATATTTCATTAGGTGGGATACTATTTTTTATCATCGCAGAATAGTCATTGTTAAGTCACATTTTTTTAACTATGGATGAGTTCAAACGGTAATTTAGCATTGTACTCGCGAATGTTTGAAGGTGCAGAAAATGAATGAAAATGATTTGAAAACTTTGAGTTTTAATGGTAAGGATAAAATAAAAGGTAAAGTGAATAATATCATGATTGACTTTTTAATGTAAAAATGTAGTTTTTCGTTAAAATTTCTTAAAAATAACTAAAATCAGTTTTAGATCATCAAAAGTGTTTGTGATAGTGTTTGACAGAAAAATTTAAAAGTACTTATAACTTTTTAAAATAAATAATTTGGTAAGTGTTGGGGAATTAAAAGGTACGTATTACCTAAATAAATTTGATTTGTTGGATATTTTCTATGGAGATTGGGGTTGTTAACTTGTACTTTCAATGCCGTAAAACGCATTAAAAGCTATGATCCAAAGATTAAATCGACTAATTATAAAGGTTTAGGGAGTAATCGGCTAGATTTAAAGTTCATGAAGAAAATTGACAGCGCCTTGCAAAGTTCTGGGGAGGGAAGGGGGGAATCAGCGAATATCTTAAAATAAATCCTTCAATAAAACATCAAAAAAGCTTCCTTCTGTCTACTTCATGCATTCATCTAGTCATGCAGATTCATTTATGAAGAATTAATTGGAATAAATATTACAATTTGTCAAGAGTAATCCTACAAAATAACGTTAACTGAGGGTTACCAATGAACACGCTTAATTTTCTGCTTCTCCCTTGGTTCCCTTTTTGAATTTACACCCGGCCTACCATACAAATCTTGTGACGTTCGATGATTGTTTGCATCTGTAACAAGTAGCAAAAGGCGTAACACGCTTCAGATCGGAGAATGTAAATATACCGTTTCGTTGCTCAATGAAGGACGCCCATCTTCTCAGGAGAGGTAATTCGTGAACAGCAAAGATCGGCAGCAATGCCTGCAACCCAAGCACAAAACCCCCATGTCAGTCGGATTGTAAGTTACTGTAAGCACACAAAAATACCAGTTAAAAGTTTCTGTAGTTTGAAGGGAACAAAAATTGAAACCATTCATCAGTTTGAATCACCGTGTAGCAGATAGTGCGATGATCCAATGATCCGATGATCCAACACCACTACCTCCAAGCAATTAGAAAATGTAGTTTATGGTTCACATATGACTAAAAACTACTGCTAACAAGGTTTACCGGGTACCACATCTCCGAAAAATTTACCCAATGTTTGCCGGGTATCACATCTTGGATTATTCATTAGACTAAAGCAAAACCTAGCAAACACATCTGCTATTCATTTACATTCTTTCAACCATCTACTATTGCTTCACTGAAGATTAGTTGCATTGAGTCGATTCATGTGAACTGAGTTTTTCATCCTCTTAGACTTCCTTAAAACTTAAAACCGTGTGCTGGTAAAGAGCAGAACGTATAACCTATTTCCGTTTGGTTTGATTCCCTAGTTTCCCTCAGAAGATAAGTTCTTGTTCCTAAAATGTCCTGTTCGGTGAAGAAACAACCAAAAACCAGCAACTGAAAAAACCCACATTGACAAAAAAATTTGGTACTTGGTGTTCGAAAAGTGTAGTCCATCCCTAGAACACCACATTATTTGATAGCAATACTAACATGACTGGTTCTGGTTCGCGTTAAGATCTCATAGAACTTTGTCCAACAACATGAATCGTCAATTCAGATCAAGCAATGCATGTTGGGGACCAAACAATCATGTTTAGAACACGCAATAATGCACAAAACTTCACAGCAACTAAGATAGCAACGCGATTCTCAATGTACTAATTCGAGTATACTTGATATTCAGCTGACATTGTAGCTACACAGTTACCACCAACAAGTGCTGGATCCAACTAAATACACTTATCAATTTTGACCACAAATTGCAGATTCAATGAACATACTGGGATATAAATAGCACATTAGTACCTCCAATTGCAGCCTCATTTCGAGACGGGTTTTTGGAGCAGAGCAGACAAGTAAACCTCGCCATTCTTCAACCCACCGGAATCGTTCTTACTCGCCGTAGCCCACTTCACCTTCCTGTACTCCAATTTCCCAATCAACGGCCCGAAAACCTTTTCAAGATCCACCCCTTTGCTGAAAAACTGATCCAACCACAAGTACCCTCCTCCCCTCAACACTCTATCCGCATCAAACAGCAAAAACTCCAATGCCGTCACCGGTATCCACCGGTTCACGGCGTGCCCGCACCGCACCAGATCCACCACTCCGTCGAACACCGGCAACCGCTGCTGCAGCGGAGCGTGAATTGGCACCAACCCCCTCAGCGCCACCGCCTCATTGTTGGGGATTCCAAGGTTCATGGTGGTCGTGATAATGGTGACATTGTAGAGCTTCATCCTCGCCGCGAATGTCCCAGTTCCGCCACCGATGTCGATGCCGAGACGGAGGACCGAGTTGGCTGCTTTGGCGATTTGGAAGAGCTGAGGGATCGGGAGGTCGAGCTCCGACTTGTAAGTCATGAAGTTGGACAATTCGTGAGGCATGTCGAAGCCCAAATTTGGGTTTTTGCCGCCGAGGCAGCTGAAGCTTTTGCAGGAATACTTGGCCCACACGACATTGGAGTCAGGAAGCGACGGAGGAAACGGATTCATGGGGAGAGAAGAAGAGGGCTTTGGTGGGGTTCTGGTAAAGCAGCGGCGGCGGGGGAGCGGGTGGCAGCCGCGGAGAATGAGGGACTCGGCGAGGTCGGAGTCCAGCGGACAGAGAGAGAAGGGGGTGTAGGTCATGTACTTGTGGAGGAGATCAGGGTGGTCGTGGCAGGAGGAGGCGATGGGGGAGAGCTGAGAGTAGAGGAGGAGATCCGAGGGGACGGTGGGTTTGGTTGTTTTGGCGGTGGAGGTAGAGGGAGATGGGTGGTGGCGCGTGAGGTGGTTGATGGTGGCGCGTATGGTGTGGAGCTGGTGGAGGAGATGGTCAGGGACTGGCTGGGGAGTTGGTGGTTTTGGGGTTTGGAGAGTAGAGGAGAGGTGGTAGAGTGAGAGTATGTTGGTGGCCACCATAGCCATCAGCAGCAGCAGATTCAGACCCATTGTCACTCCCATTTGCTTCACTCTCTGTTGTTTCTCCAGGGTTTTGATCTCTCTCTCTCTCTCTCCCCCTCTCTCTCTAGATTTCTGGGTTTTTTTTTGGGAAATGGAGAGTGATTGAAATTTTCGGATTTAGCATTTTGAATCTTGTGATTTGTGATGTTCTTACTGATTGTTTGACTTACCAGTGAAGCAAGTGAGCGCTCAGCAGGGTGAGGTGTGATTCGGTATGAACAGCGTATTAGATTTGAGATTTAATTTGGGGATTCTGGACCGTTCGATTGGGACAAGTGTGCGGGTTTCCACTTTCCTAGACATTGCAGATGTTGATTTGTTGGAATCCAACGGCTTGTAAGACATTTTGTAGTAGAAAAAACTGTTTTTTCCTTTTTTTTTTTCAATTATTAGATCATCTCTGACATTTAGAGTAAAATCTAAAATTTTTAACCCATAAATAATTTTTCTACTCCAATTTTTCTGACCTAAAATTTTAATCTAAATTATTAAGTAATGAATTTAGGCTAATCTTTTTTTAACTCAACTTTAAAAAAAAATATATGTAGACTATCCTAAATTAATTTTATGACATTTTGACCTAAAAATATTAAATTCCAATAAATATTGAAAAATTACTAAATCAACACATGAAACTCATGAAACACTATGGAAAAATATAAAACACAATAGAGATTGGAAGAATTGTAAACGGGAAGAAATGCTTTTGGAAGATGGTAGAAAGAAAAATTGGAAGAATTGTAGGAGAAAAGTGAGTTTTGTGTAGACGTTTGAACAAATACATAGGTATTTATAAAGTTGTTGGGTTAATTTTGAGTTAAATAATTTTTTTTAATTATTTTAACCGTTGAATTTAAATTTGGGTGGTAGCTTGAGCTTTTTTTTTTTTTTTTTTTACAGTTAGATTTGATTATATTCAATTTTAGTCATTGGATTCAATAGATATATAAATATAAAACTAAAGAAAAAGGTTTTGCATGTGGACTGTTGGATGAAGTAACGGCCAAGTGATTGTGGCTGCCAGATCATAAAGAGCCATTGGGCCCAATTACCATCAAACATCAAGGCAGACAGCCCTATGTGGGTGGGCCATATTTTCGGAGCTCCACCAAGTTTTTTGGGCTAAATCTTGAAGGGAATTTAAGCTTTTTTTAGTTTTTAACACTCAACCCAATTCTAGAACTGTTGAAGAGAAATGGAGGGGGAATAGAAGGGAAAATTTAGGACTTTTAGAGTTGATCTTATAGATAGGAAACAAGGCACATCAAGAGAGATGATGTAGGGTTTAAAATACGATAATGGGTACGATAAAAACACATGTAACTTTTTATCTCAACAAAAAGTTAATAGCAGTAACGTAATTTTATAAAACAAAATTTTACTTTAAAAAAAAAAAAACAAACAATATTATTTACACTAAGGGCGGTCAACTTAGCCTCACAATGGGCTAGCAATAATGTGATTCAAATTTACTTTTGGCAATAATCAAACCTAAGACCCCTCATTTATAAGTGAAGAAGAATACTATTAAACCGTAGTACTAAGTTGCCCCTCTCCTTCAATTTTAAATTAAAAAGTTTCACACATACTTTGTATGTGCATACATCCGTGCATTTACAATTCATGTGACTGTGTTAATACTTTTAAAAGGTATTTTATTTGCTTGCAGTTTGCGTTTGATACCCGATAAAACAAATCTTGGTTTTTGTTTTTCTTGTGACGGGCATGATACATTTGTTATGATAGAATCCGGATCCTGTTTGTGAAGATTACAAGATCTGTGAATCATATTTGTTCACCGTGCGGTCAAAATTTATTTAAATATTTTTATTTAAAATTAAATGCAAACAATACCTAATAAAAAACTGATAATATAATATACGATAAACGTACACAATTTACGAATCTCTAAGATCCTTATAAAAAAGATGCAGAGAGAATCCTGTAGGGTTATGATATTATATATTGTGTGACTGATTTGAAAATAAAAATATTGCAGTTGATGAATAAATTTTAAAAATTAAACAAAAACGCGACGGTACACACAGTAAACACTATTGTCTGTTGGTTGGTTATAAAAGTGCGTTTAGAATCCGCGTCTGCCTAACGCAAGCTGTTTCGGAGACTCGATCGCTCGTCTGGAACTCGAATCAATGGTAACGTATTCTTTCTCTCTCTGATATATTTTTATTAATTTCATTTCTGCATCTTTTTCGGCTGCTATTTTTAGGTTCAGATATGAAATGTAGTGAGATTAGGGTTTGGGAATTGTCTGTAAATGGTATAGAGTTCTTGTCGATTTTATCTTCGTTCTCAAAATTAGGGTTTGAGTTGAATCATTCACAAGTTTGGATGCTGTTTTGGATGATTTAATTTCGTGCGGGATGGTGATTTTCTTTGGGATTTTGGTGTGCAACTGGCTAAGAAATGAATATTGGGAGTTCAATGTTTACTGAGGAATTGGTGCTGCCTGTACACTTTGATGTTGTGAGAGGAAGAGAGTTGTAGCTGTCAGGGTTATAGGGCATGTCGGCTTTTTACACCGAGCAGGCATAGAGATCAATGGGATTTGAAAACTTCCTTAAACTGTGAAACATGCTCAAAGAGAGTTAGGTATATTGAAGGATATGCATATAAGCATGGCTTTGAACATTCGTGCGGATTGTTTGTATGTCTATTCAAAAGATTTTGTCGACTGTCTTGGTAGTCGTAGGTGTTCCAAACTGTCTGTCTTTTGAACAAGTCGGGAGATTTGCTTCACAAGTTCAACGATTTTTCTTTTGGTTTTTCATTGGCTTCATTGGGCTTCTGGGAATTGGGATGCGAGATGTACTATGCGATGGGGTTTGGGAGGGATGGGGAAAATGGGTTCTGATTTCTCAATCCTCATGTTTCTTTGCTGGTCTAAGAAGGGTTTGTGATATATCACTCAGAAACAGGTTTTATTTTCACAAAGCTATGAGTTCGTAGATTTCATTAAACTCTGTCCAAATGCTGCTATTCAAGTTCTGCACTTTGTAATTGAAATGGGATCCCCATTAAGAATCCCCAGGTATTTACATGTATGTGTGTGTATACTTAGGAAAAGAATCATTTAGGTAGCTGAGTTGGTTTATGGATAGCGAATGGCAGGAACTAAATGCTGTAGCTATACTTTCTGGTATACATATCATCGTGGTTAGCAAAATATTTATATTAAGGGAAGTCTTTCCTCAAGTGTTTTGTTTGCCTGTCGTTTGACTTTTGTTGTTTTTAATCTCTTTTAGGCTGATCCTGAACTGGAAGCAATCAGACAAAGAAGAATGCAGGAGCTTATGGCTCAACATGGTGTAGTAAGCAATCAGCTTCAGTTCATTTGAACATTTTCGCCAAACTCAGTGGTTGCGTTTCGTTGCGATTTTTTGCTGATCTCACTACCTTACATTGATCAACAGGGAGGGTCTGGAGGGCAACAACCAAACCCAGAGCAGCACAAGGCAAATGAAGATGCCAAGAGGTTGGGTTGGGTTTCAGATCAATTTGGACAACGCTTCTCCAAAATGTTCTTATTGATTTGATTAATACATAATGCAATTCATGCAGGGAGGCCGAAGAACGGAGGCAGATGATGCTTAGTCAGATTGTGTCAGGCGAAGCTCGTGAAAGAAGTAAGTTGATACGTCTAACATTTTCATTAGTTAATACGATTATTTTACTTGGTACTCTTTAGAAAATTTCTGATATCAGCACTTCTCCTCTCATGGACTAACCTATTCTTGGTCTAGTGTATTTTGGCACGAGAAGTAGATTGTGTAAAATAAGGACTGAAAGATGATATGTTGGTACTTGGTAGAATTACGTTGGGTTAGCCTTATCTGTTGGTCTAATTCATTTGCTGCTATACATTGTACAGTTGCTAGAATTGCTTTGGTGAAACCTGAGAAGGCAAGGGGTGTTGAAGATGTTATACTGAGAGCTGCTCAAATGGGCCAGATAGTTGAGAAGGTATGGTGTGATACTTCATGTCATGGTCAGCTTTATAGTTTCTGTGCAGGGCTTTTTATTATTTTGAAGTGCATTAACAAGAGTTCGTTTAAACAGAAGCAAATTGCTCATTACTTCATTTTTCAGGTATCTGAGGAGAGACTCATTTCGTTGTTGGAGCAGATCAACAACCAAACAAACAAGCAGACCAAAGTCACTGTAAGTTGTGACCGATAATACTGAATTCTGTTTCTTCTTTTTATAGGTGAAGTTTTACATGAAAAAATATACTGGGGTTTGACACGTCTTTCCGTCACTCATTATTCCAGATTCAGAGGCGTCGGAGCGTCCTTGAGGATGATGATTGATTTTGTATGTTGCAGTTGAGGGCATTTTGTTCTTGGTTGGTTGTATATTAGAAAAAGTACTTTGATTATTGGTTTGTGTAATGTTCAACTCTATCCATGCTTGTAGCCTGTGATTTCGACGTTTTCCGGTAATGTCTTGACGTGCAGATATATCCGTTCAATTTATATTTTTTGGATGCATATACTTTCGAACTGGTAAAGCTTGTGAATCCTTGTCGATGTGAGGTAACATCACACGATATGAGGTGCTCCATGTTGTTTAAGAATGGTTGAATGGGTGCAGTCCTTGCGGGACGTTCTTTGGTTAGAAAAAGGTACTCTGAAAGCCAAATCGGTGGAGACTCATAGTCGTGTATTTTGTGATGAGCTTATTATCGTTGAGAATAAATTTCACATTGTGCTATTTTTCATATCGTCAATTATTTTTACGGTGAAACTCAACTTTTTTATAGTATCAGAGCAGTTTGTTTTACGTGTGAAGTCCAAAACGGTTATACATGCTTCATGTCACTTCATTTGTGTTGTTTATGTGTTGGTTTGAAAATTTGTCACGTGAGGATGCTTTGAGAATGATCCGTTGACAGACATTTAATTTGTGGTCATGGAAGGTTGCAAATTTGATGATAACAAGCTGACAACGATAACCACAAATTTTGTCAAACGGATGAATGATAACCACAAATTTTGTCAAACGGATGAATGTGATGGCGGTAGTTTTATATTCATAATAAATGCTAATGAGACTTTTTCAAAAGTAAAATTATACAATTTATTTTTTTTACGCAATATTTTATAGTATTAGCACGAAAATTAACATTGAAATATGAGATGACAAAAGTCTATAAAGAGTTTCACTTTTAAAAGAGTCTACTTCGTATTTTTCTTTACTCCATCTCTGTAGGACCATCTAGAAGAAGCAATGAAATAATTGATGCTTTCCACCAAAAAAATTTACTTTCAATATCCACTGCCAGTGTCACTTTCATCAAATTATCCAATAATTCAATTCAATTGTTAATGTTTTTTATAGTTGTTTTATGTACAAATTTGTTTTGTGCTTAACTAATTCTGAGGTTCCACCACATGGTCCACCACATCTAATCATGTTACAATGTTGAGTTTGGTTAACTAGAAAACAAATACCATTTAAACAAAATTAGGAAACAAATGCATCACAACTAATTACTCATTATTTACAATCTAATATAAGTTGGACAAATGAAGATGCGAAATTGGTTGCAGCAAGGAGACGATAAACTGTCGTAGCTTGCTTAATTATGCCAACGTTCGACACAACAAATTATTTAAGATGTGTAAGTCAGTAAAATTTATACTAAAAAAATGTCACATGTCGTATATTTGGTGGAAGTTAAATCGTAAAAAGAAGGTGGGCACGAGGATTAGGAATCTCAACACTAACATAGAGATATCAACCTTTTTTTTTTTTTTGTTTACAGAAAATTCTTTCATGTTATGAGCATTGGAAGACATGATTTGATATTTTATTTTGATATCAAAAACCTAAATCATCTAATACTGATAATGTTTAATGTTACGTAAAAGTAAAAATCATTTTTTACATTGCAGTTTATTTTGTCGGAAAACTATATAAATTACTTAAGATTTGACCTTCAAAAATAAATAAACCCCAAAACCATAATGTTTGTGTGTGGTCGAATCGTATTCAACCGAGGTCCCCGAATCTCAGTACGCAACACATGTCGAACTCTGCCTCTCGCTCGCCGTAATCCTGCGACGTTGATTCTCTCACCCATTTAGTTACCCTGCACTTTTTCGCTTAGGCTTTCGCTTCCCCACCTCCCAACAAACCGACCGAATCTATTGAATATTTGACCCAAAGATCCCTGCTTTTCTATCCCATTTTTCCAGACCAGCAAAATAAATCTCCAGTTTCCGGTTTCTCGGTGACGCCAAGAGCGGTTTTCCGGCCGACCCAGAGGGAGAAGAGCCTCTGCTTCCATACGTAGGCAGCCCAAGAGGTGAAAAAAATTGGACGTTGACCCAAGTTCCTTGCAACCCTCCCCACAATACCATTTCTCCCAACCAACCAAGACGGTTTCCGGTTTCCCGGCGGCACCAGAAGCGGTTTTGCTGGCGGAACCAGATGGAGAAAGAGCCATTACTCCCATACGTAGGCAGCCCTAGAAGAAAGCTGTCACCTTTACCGACTCTCTGCCCACTTCCAGAAGAGGATGAAGTCACTGTTCCTTTAACCCCTTCGGAATTCAAAGACCGTATAATCTTTGGCCCTGCGACTGCTTCGACGCAGGATTCTTCTCCTCTTGTCGATGCATTGACTCTGCCTATCAATTCTCCAAGAACTTCAAGACCCCCTTCGTCGTCTTCTCTGTTGGACTCCGTAGCCACAATCTCACAGGACCCACAAACCCAACAGCCACCCCTGCAATCATGGCTCATCGACCCCAATTGCTCATGGACCAAAACCAACCTCCACCGCTCCAAAACAGCTCCTGCCATGGCCGTGATCAACGAGGTGGCGAACCGGCGCTCTGTTCCCAGACCCCAATTCGGTTCACAGTCGATTGTAAGACAAGCTGTTGTACTTCTTGTTATATATCTTGCATTGGGTGTGACTATATATTGGTTTAACCGTGATCATTTCGCTGCGTCGGAGACGCACCCTGTGGTTGATGCATTATACTTTTGTATTGTGACAATGTGCACAATTGGGTATGGAGATATTACGCCTACTACTACTGCAACCAAGTTGTTTTCGATAATGTTTGTGTTGGTGGGGTTTGGATTCATTGATATTTTGCTTAGTGGGATGGTTAGTTATGTGCTTGACTTGCAAGAGACTTATTTGTTGAGGAGCCTTAAGGATGTGGGTGAGAAAAAGGAGTCCTACATATTTGATGTTAAGAAGGGGAGGATGAGGATTAGGATGAAGGTGGGATTGGCGTTGGGAGTTGTGGTTCTTTGTATTGGGATCGGTGTGGGTGTGATGCATTTCGTGGAAAAGCTTGGATGGTTGGATTCGTTTTATCTTTCGGTTATGTCAGTTACCACAGTAGGGTATGGTGACCGGGCTTTCCAGTCTTTGCCAGGACGTATCTTTGCTTCAATTTGGTTGCTTGTGTCGACACTTGCAGTTGCTCGAGCATTTCTGTTTTTGGCTGAGGCTAGGGTGGATAAGCGGCATAGGAGGATGGCGAAGTGGGTTCTTGGTCAGGATATGACTGTTTCTGAGTTTCTTGCTGCTGACATTGACAATAATGGTTTTGTGAGGTATGTGTTATTATTGAGTCTTTTGACATTTTGATCAGTGTTGTGGTTTGAGATTGTTTTTCTTTTGATTATCTATTCTATGAATATACTCATTCGAAACTACCTGTTATAACTAGCTTTTGGATGAGAAGTTATAATAGAGTACCCGCTTATGAAATGAGGCTGTGCACAAACCCCTCCCCATTCTCCTTATCATGTTAGTTCATCCCCCTCTGCGGGTCTTAACAATTTAGCGTTTCACTTGTCTTCAGCACAGTATTCCATTCATATTCTAATTATCGAAATTTGTTGCAAATTTCTTGGGCGTGGGAAAAGGGTTTGTTGTTGTTGTGTATAGAACATTGTTTCTATTCCTTAATTCCTTACGGGATAGTCTCTCTGAACTTTGTCTTGGATCAAACTGTTTATGAGTTGCAACTGGTAATCTGATATCCTGCATAGTCCTTTTGCCTTCACTCCTTTTGGAATTTAATGTATAGCATTTGAAGTTGGCACCTTGGGAACTGACGTTTGATTTAGCATTTTCGAACCCTAATAATGAGTAAAGTAAAAGTTTTGATTCAGTTATCTTTACAAATTAGTGAATGTACTGTTTGGGGTTTCGACCCCCTATCTTACCAAAAATAATAATTAGTCAATGTACTAAACAGTTTAACACTTATGGAACCAAAAATTCTTGGTGATGAAGAGAATATGAGCGCGAGAGTTGATTCAAGTGCCTAGGTTACACCAATTTTGAAGAAGAATAAAAAGAATGGTTGGGTAGTGACCTTTTCAATTGAACGTGCATTGATTATTTAATTCCTTCTAGAAATCTGGAGGTTGAGCAACTTGTATTAGTTGTCCTCAGTGCTCGGCAACAATGTGCTTGAATTTTGGTTTTTCTTATTGACTAGTAGTTTCAATCTTGTTAGCCTAGAATTCTTATCATAGGGAACTTTTGATTATACACAAGCGCTAGTTTTTCTCTGCTGACTTCATTTATATGTAAATTTCTAATCTTAAAAATGTATCTGTCACTGGTGCGGCTTATTTCCGTTTTCTGGTGTCGTTGTCTTATTTCTTTGCTTATTCTGAGTTACAGTAAACTGCAAATAGTCATGTTTACGTTGGCTAATTATATTGGCCTTACATGTGCAGTAAGTCGGAATATGTCATATACAAACTCAAGGAGATGGGAAAGGTATCAGAGAAAGATATTATGCAGATCTGCACCCAATTCGATAGGCTAGACACTGGGAACTGCGGAAAGATAAGCCTTGCTGATCTTATGAGTCGACCTTGATATCCAAGTACCTTTTCGTTACTTTTCATCTTGATAGAGCAACGCAAGCATATACCTTCTCTCTTTAAACATGAAGTATGATAAGCCAGATATTTCACGGAAGTCACAAATGAAGCATGAACTTCGCTGCCATATCGGTTGGTCTCTTGCCCATGCATCCTAAGCATCAAATCAATCTTTCGTACTTTAAACGGTGATGCATGATAACCCTCTCGGATGTATTTCCTGTTTGTATACAACAGTCAACAACTAGTTCAGACTCGTAGGCATATTCCAGGAATACTAGTGATGGGAGAACCTCAGCTGTTTGAGGGTAGTTTCGATTTTATACGAATTGAATGTCAGTATAGACGACTAGCGGTTATCTTGCCGAAATGAATATAAAAGATAAAAGCTCAGAAATCTACAAAATGTTACATTTTGCTTAGAGTTGAGACCCTTTTTTTTGACTGCTTCATAACTGTAAATTAGTACGAATGAATGGAGAAGCACCTTGTTTACGTCTCTCGTAGCTTTCTTTCTCTGTTTTGTTGCATTGAGATCAAGTTGTTGATAACCACAAATATGAACACTTTGCTAGATTGATTTTGTTAAAATGTTGCTTTTTTCTGCATCAGCAGGTCATGAGTTGTAGTGTCAATGAATTGGGTTTGAAACGAATGAATCAAAGGAGTATTGACGGACATAAGCAAGGGGATGACTGGATGAGTGCATAAAGAGAAAACAAGAGCGAAAATTACTATCCGGCACTCATGACTCAAAATAGCCGTTATCCTGCCGCCCCGACAGCATGATTTTTCCGGCTGATAACTTGGTACCAGCCGGTGCATTGTCACCAACACATAACAAAAGTTTGCCCTAAATCTTTAGAAACAAAAGTAAAAAGTTAAATGTGGAAAGGTTATGTTGAAAAATGCCAACATGTGTGTTTGAATGTTGACGGCACACTCTCATTGAAAGTTTTGCTGCCCACGTTTCAACACAAGTACGTATGTTCCATACTTATATTCTTTTTCTTGGAAAGCATGAAAGGCAATCATAAGAAACCCTAGAGTCTTGCATTTTCGACTGTTGATTTACCAATTCTTCTCTCACATCACACACACACACATATACATATACATATACATATACATACATATATATATATATATAAGTGAATTTGAATGCCCAAATCTACAAATGAGGATCCTCTTTGTGAGGATATCCTCCAATCACGTCTGTTTATCGTACATCTTGTGGTTATAGATCATTGTAAATTTTTTTATGTAAAATTGAATATAAATAGTACCTGACGAAAACTAGCCGCATGATGTACGATAAACAGACGTAGTTTGAGGATCTTCGGATCCTCACAAAGTGGATCCGGAGAGGATCCTCATTCCAAATCTGCAAGAAGTATATTCTGCTGTCAACTTGGGTTATGCGGTTTCAAAAGCTTGATCAGCAAAGCAATATCCACTCATAATCACTTGCTGAATTATTAGGGTGATTGAATGGAAAGGAGACCAAGGGAGGGGATTGAGAGTAATCAAACGACTCGCTGATACCAATGTTAGATTCTTGCTTTCCATCTTCCATAATTGAACAGAGAATGATAGTTTCCCAAAATACCAAATACGATTTCATTAACTGCCTTTCTTCTTTTACAAGATACTATTTGTAGTAATCCTCTAACTCTTAACAGCTAGTAACTAACTGTTAATATCTATTGTACATTTGTCACCAGCATGATGATGCCACCTGACATTCTAAAAATAAAGAGAAAACGAGAGTGCAAATTCACTATTTTGCGTTCATAACTCAAAATAGCCATTATTCTGTCACTCGACGGCATGATTTTTCCGGCTTTATAACTGGGTACCAGCCGATGCATTGTCACAAACACAGAACAAAAGTTTGCCCTAAATTTGGAAACAAAAGTAAAGTTAAATGCGACAAAAAGTTATGCTCAAAAAGACCAATGCAGTGTGTGAATTTTGACTGCATACTCTTATTGAAAGTTTTGCTTCCGAATTTCTGCACACCTACGGATGTTCCATGCTTTTCTTCTTTTTCTTGGAAAACATGAAAGGCACTCGTGATAAACCCTAGAGTTGTGCATTTTCGACTCATGAAGCAAATCTGCGAGTGTATTTTGCTGCCAACTTTGATTGTGTCGGTTTCAAAAGCTTGATCAGAAAAGCAATATCCACTCATAAGCTCTTGCGACTTATTAGGGTGATTGAATTGAAAGGAGACCAAGGAGTGGCTATATTGCTTTATTCTTTTTTCCCTTCAAAAAGTTGCTATAAAATTATGAAACTTGTCCTTTTCTTTGAAAGTGTTCGACAGGCTTAGAGCAATGTCCACGAATTCAAAACTATGGAAGAGCACAAGAAGTTTATAGTGCGACTGGTAGCTAGACGTAAGGTCCTGTGTTGTTATTAATTCATGTGTTTAACATTTTTTTATAAAGGAAATCGAATCAAACGATGTATAAATAATTAAAATCACAATTACACTGAGTCTTGGATCAAAACATCCTGAACAATGTCAGGAGGATCCTTAATTCATACTCAAAACGTCCTGAATAATATGTTCAATATTTTTTTAAAAAGAAAGTGATATATAGATAAATGACACCATAATTACACGGATTCATGAATGAGAACATCTTGAACAATGTCAAGAGAAACCTTAAATCATATTTAGATCATTGCATGTATGAATAGTTTGTCTAGTCTATGGACAACTCTAGTATACTTTCTTGAATAACGACACGTATTATAATATCAGTGAATTAAATACATCATGTGATGCATTTAAAAATTAGTGTTAAGATGCTTCATATATACCAAGTCTCTCTTACTCTGTCTCTATATTGTAAACTAGCTAACTTGAAGGATCATCATAACATGACTTGAATTCTATATCGTAGTGATATTCTTCACTAACTGGGAAGCAAAGACTTAAGACTATGTTCTATTTGATTCTACAGCGATTACCCAACAAGGAGAGAAAAACTACAAAGAATGCAAAAATATATTATATTTATAAATGCATATTCTGGCAAGACTGAGTCAGCTTAAGTAATCAACTCTCTGCAGTTTATGACTGCTAATGACTGTATCAAAGAATAATACATTAACAATTTGGTAAAGGCCCGGGGAAGGTCTTTTGTTTCGTTCTGTTCTTTAACAGTTAGTAAAATAGTGGAAGCATTATGCCAATTAGAAAATTCAAATTGTATGAAGGGTTATTATACAAAATGGTCCATGAGATTTGCATGATCAATAGAAATGGTCACTGAGATTAAAAATCAATAGAAATGGTCCTTAGATTATCCACCATCCATGATTTTGATCCTTCCATTAAAAACGATTTTGAGTAATTTTTAAAGCTTTGTAACTCAATCGTTTCTTAACCAAATTCGACCCATAATATATCAAAATGAAGATAGGAAAGTGTAGAATAAGATTATACCTATTTGGAAGCCCCATGTTTGCCGGAGATAGCCGTAAAGTAGCCTGAAATGTGACTGGTTCGCGGGAAAACTGGAAAACTCGCTGGAAACTGGGTAAACTTTAAACGTTCATAACTTCTTCAATACTCAACCAAATCGATTGATTCAAAAACAAAAATAATACTTCTTGACTAAACAAAGAGAATGGTATCTTTTTCGAAGACTAACTTGCCGTGGTTTGTTTGGACAACGGCTTGAAAGTGGCTAACCATTTTCGAGTTAGCCAGTTTCGAGCAGTTTTCCGGACAAAACACGGCGAGTTAGCAGTAAAGAAAGATACCATTTTCTTCGTCTCATCGATAAGTATGATTTTATTTTTTGAATCACTCGATTTCGTTGAGTATTGAAGAAGTTATCAATGTTTAAAGTTTACCCAGTTTCCAACGAGTTTTCCAGTTTTCCCACTAACCAGTCAGCTTTCAGGCTATTTTCCGGCTATCTTTGGCAATCATTGGGCTTCCAAATAGGTATAATCTTGTTCTACACTTTCTTATCTTTATTTTGATATATTATGGGTTGAATTTGGTTAAGAGTTGATTGAGTTACGAAGCTTTGAAAATTGTCCAAAGAGTTTTTAAATGAATGACCAAAATCATGGATAGTGGACAATCTTAGAGATCTTTCTATTGATTTTCAATCTCATGAACCATTTCTATTGATCATGCAAATCTCAGAACCATTTTATATAATAACCCATTGTATAAATAAAGTAAAAAGGAGAGATGCAGTTGTTAGAAGAACCGGTCAAGTAGATTTTTGACCTCTTGAAGAATCTTTTGATGTGGGCCTCCTTTCACATTTGATCCAGAAGATCGAGTAGGGTTTTTTTAACTCTAGGATTTCAATGAGACAAACCCCATCTTTATTTTTGCTTATTAAATTTGCAATTTGCATCATAAATCTTGGTTTTTCAGGCACATCTCATGTATACATACATACATACATATACATATATATATATATATTTATGTGTTAGGAAATACTCTGAGTGGAGTGGATGTTGAATAGTCATTTCCAATGTTGACTATTGGCCTTCAAGTCAATTGGAATCATTGCTATCAGGATTTAAAAACATTAGGCTGAGATGGATAAAGGTTCTGGTGAATTGGATTGTCAGCATTTCTTCAGCCATGTATAATTAAAAACAATCTGGTTGGAAGCTGACTGGAAAGGAAAAGAGAGGACTAATGGAAAGAAGAGAAAAAGTTGTGCCAAGTAAAACTTGTTGAACTAAGAAGTTATATCTGGAAGAGAAGCTGTTCATTATTTCTGCAGAATGGCCCTTGTTATATGTAACCTTATCAAAACTACATTATCAGAAGCGAATGTGAGGCAATTGGTCGACGAGTGGTGCATTGTCAGTCAACCAGCTGTCTCACCTCTCGTACAATAGAAAGGTCTCATTTTTAACTTTAATTTTTTTTAACTTTCATGCTTACAAGTTAGCATGCTGATTCTTGGACTGGAGTTCCCCCTTATAATACATGCAAACGCAAAGGACTAAGTACATATGCATTGTCATATCAGCTTATAGCTAGGCCCTCTGAACGGATTCAATTATTGAGCGGAAAAGTTAGGCACACTCTGCTATCTCTTGATCAAGTGGACTTCTGATCCATTATTGGCTGCGTTAGCTTAGCTTAATCCAGGCAAAACCTGGCATATATATGCAGTACTCATACTATTTTATATCAATAGTCATTCAGCTGGTTCCGACTGAAAGGGGTTGTTCCTGCTACTACCTTAAAGCCGAGGGCACGAAGCTGCATATGCATCGACCCTACCTATATATATTTTAGCCGTCAAATACCATGGCTAACGGAAGCCATGCGAAAGTAGAAAATCAGTACAGTGTTGGACAACTTCTAAGGGTTGCAAAAATTGGAGTAGAGGCAATACTTTTACTCGTACTTGTGTAGTCTATTCATGAATGAGAAGATGTCATCCTATTAATGGAAGCCATGTAAAAGTAAAATCAATACAATGTTGGATGACTTCAAGGGTAGCAAACATTGGAGTAGGGGCAATAGTTTTTACTCGTACTTGTGTGGTCTGTTCACGAATGAGAAAACGTTATCCTATTAATATAAGTTAGTAACTTTATAAAATACACACATCCATATATAGTGTGTAAGTTCAAAAGTGTGGTTCAAAACAACAAATTAACATACTGAGTAGGGACAATAACTTTCACTCATTCTGACCTAGATTATGAAAGAACACTATCTATAATACGAGTAACTCACAGCTCACAGCTCCATATCCTACGAAGTAGTAGATAAATATGACTCAGAAAGTTATATTGTGTATGTACGGATAAGATAGCTTGTCGCTAATGAGAAGTGATTAGGCAGCTGATCACAACAAAAACATAGGTTAGATGCAGCTTGATGCCCTTAAATTCGAGGGTTGGGTGCAAGTTAACTCAAATGTGTCTACATCCTAAAGATTCTTTTTCTCAGTGTGCACACCTAACAAAAAACCTGCCCTCTACTACATCGATGGTGACTTCCATTACCAATGCCAAAGTTCCTATTTTATGTCACTTATTGTGGACGCA